CTGTCAGGAGACAGTGAGGGGGCAGAGGTCCCGCGCCCTGCTCTGGGACCCTCCTCTAAACTCTGCGACAGCCCAGACCCTGGGGGGTGGGTTTCTGTGGGAGGACCAGCGGGCTGACAGGCTCGCTCCTGTGGGCTCTGGGGAGAGCTCTCTGGTTTCTATGACCCGGTTAGTCACACAGGAAGTCGATTACTCATTCACTACACGTTTCCCTTTCACTAATTGAGCTGTGACTCTAAAAATGGAGGCCTGACACACGCGCTGTACCGTCAGTGGCCTCGCAGCACGCTCCGGGTGCCCGCCTTGTCCCTGACGCTGCCCTCTGCCCCCGCACCATGGTCCGGAGTGGATGCTGGGGGTTGACTCACCCATGTGGCGGGGCTGTGTTGGCAGCTCGCCTGCTGTGACACCTGGTACTTCTGGATGAGAACGGAAGACTCGCCCTCCAGACCCCAAACGTGTGGCCCATGTGGAGGCGAGCCTCCCAGCAGGAGATCATTCCAGACCAAACGATCCGACTGGTTGCAGGATGGGAGATGTGCTGTGCCCGTGGCCTGGGGTTGCCGAGGGGCGTGGACTGGGGTGTCTGCCGGCAGCTTCACAGCGGGATCAGACCTGCGTTTCTCTGTGAAAAGTGTAGGAGGTGTGAGAGAGGCTGGCAGCTGGGGACTCGCGTGCCCGGCTGGCACGAAGGGCCCTCTGCTGCGGGGATTGGCAGCGGGGTGCCCGCTTGGGCAGCCAGAACTACAGCCACCTGGCCTAATGCCAGCTCGGTGGCGCCTCCTCCGGGAAGTCTGCCCAGATGCCTGCTCCTCTCAGGCTGTTCCCTGGGCTTCTGTTTATTGAGATGTTTGGTGGCACCCGCTCCTGGAGCCCTGGGCAAAAGGGGGACCAGGGAGCCTGTGCCCCGGGGGGTGGGGGCCGTGTCCTCTCCTCATCCTTCTCTCTGATCCCAACCCCCCCCCTCCAGGTACCTGTGTCGTAGCCCCCGTTCCTGCTGTGGCCGTGGAGGGCAGACATCTGCAGAGCTCACCTGGGTGAGGCTCGGCTGGCTTCTAAGCTCCCCTAGATCAGACGCTGTCCATGCCCACGTGTCCCTCCTTCGGGGAGGAGAGCTGGCGCCCCCTCCACCTCCCAAGCGTTGTTAGTGGGTCCTGCTGCCTGTTTGGCAGTTTACATGCGGGACTCTCTGCGCCTCAGAAAAACAGACCCGTGGTGTCCTCAAGGGCCGAGGCCATGCGGCTTTCACATCCCTTGGCATGAGGGTTTCCTTCCCGAAGGTACAAACACAGGTCCACACCTGTCCCTTCAGCTCACAGGGCTTTACCCTGGGGTTTTATATTCCATACGCCTTCCCATGAACTGTCCATGTTTTCATGATTGAAAGCTCAAGGCGGGGAAGAAATGCCTTGTGTATTTTATGTACTTGTTGCCACTGAATTGCCCCATTGCTTTTATTAATAGAGGTTAGCAACACAAACTGGCCAACAGTCCTTGCTTCCACGGCTTCCGCGTCCAGGTGGGGGGTGTTGGGGCTGTAGGAATGCTAGGCTCAGCCTGAGGGGCCCAGGTCGGCCCCAGGCCCGCGGCTGAGCTGTGGGGTGAGGTGGGGGACGCCCCCTGGCATGGGCACATCGGCTGTGTCACTGTCCGTGCCTTGGATGGCTTCAGGGTTCCGAGGCGACCCCTCTACCGCGTAGCTGAGAGGCAAAGTCGGGAACCGCGCATTAGCAGGGAGCTACTGGGAGCACGGGGGACTCTGCCAGTGCTGCGTAATGACCTGTGGGGGAAAGACTGGGAAAGGGCAGATGTGTGTGAGTATGGGCTTCCCTGGCGGCTCAGATGGTAAAGAATCTGCCTGCAGTGTGGGAGACCTGGGCTGGGAAGATCCCTGGAGGAGGGCATTACAACCCATTCCAGTATTCTTTTCTCTTCTTTCAATCGCAGGTGTCTGTTTGATTTATTTATGTGTGACTGCACTGGGTCTTTACTGCTATATGGGCTTTCTCTGGTCGCAGCCGGTGGGGACTGCTTTTCGCTGCAGTGGCAGGCTTCTCACTGGGGGCTTCTCGTTGCGGACCACAGGCTCTAGGCGGGCAGGCTCAGTAGTTGCGGCGCGGGCTCAGTTGCTCCGTGGAATGAGGAGTCCCTAACCAGGGATCAGACCTGTGTCCCCAGCACTGGCAGGTGGAACCTCATCCACTACGCCACCCGGGGGTCCCCACTCCACTGCTTTTGCCTGGAGGATCCCCATGGACAGAGGAGCCTGGTGGGCTACAGTCCCTGGGGTCACACACAGCAGGACAGGACTGAGCGAATAAGTGTGTGTGTGACTGAATCGCTACCCTGTATACCTGAAACTTACATGATCTTGTAAATCAACTACACTTCAATTAAAAATTTTTTTTTTAATTAAAAAAAAACTGAAAGTGATTTGTAAGCTGGGACTCCTTTCCCTGTGGGTTGTGCTCCGGTTCCTGAAGTTGCCCTGTGGCTGGATCTCTCCAGGGACACGCAGGTTCAGCCTTGACGCCACACTCACGGCATTCTTCTCGCTGGATAGAATCCACCTAAGAACAGGGGTCTCGTGCCTGTGGGCACTCTGCGGAGGGCAGAGAGTCTGCATCTGTCCACGGAGAGCCAGTGGGGGCCGCTCCTTGGCGCGGTGGGCACCCTCAGTACGAGGGTCCCGTGACGCCTTCTGACGGTGGAGAAGTAGGCACAGTGATTCGCTGGGTGACCGGCACTCAGACGTGCTCCCAGGAGGTGGCACGCGGGCCCGGGTCCCCCTGTGCCCTCTGTCTCTGGGCCCAGGCCCGCTGCGTGCATGGGGCACACAGGCAGCTTGTGGGGACGGGCTGTTGTGAAAGGCTGTGAGTGTCATCTGTGAAGTCACACTAGCCCTGTGCAGAGACCGGAAGGTCTCCAGGTGGTTTGACTCAGAGATTTAATAACCCTTAGAGCATGTTTGTTTTCTCATAGAAAGAAACCCAAATAGAAAACAAGTAATTCAAGGACTCTCTTGAGTTTTTTTTTATGTCAGAAATACAGTAAGAACAGCTTCTATTATTTTTTGTAGAGTGCTTTTGTTTCCCGTGAATGTCAATAGGTACTGAAGTACATGGAATTTTTTTTTTTTAAATGAGGACTTTTTTGAAGCAAAGATATTTGAGCTAAAATTTAAGGTATTCTGTTAATGGAATTTGTTTTCATTGGTTTTTTACCCCCTTAAAACCACAGCTTGAATTTTATTAATGGAATTACTGAAAATTTGAGTTGAGATGAAGTTTCTTTTATTTATTTATTTATTTTTCGTTTATTTTTATTAGTTGGAGGCTAGTTACTTTACAATATTGTAGTGGTTTTTTAATTTTTTAATTGTCTTTGTTGAGTGGGAGCACTCCTAGACTAAATTAATGGATTTAAGAGTCATGGAGGAAAGATACCACCATGAGGATCTTGGTCCCTTTAACAACCCTCTGGCCTTGTCTTATTTGCTAATAATTCACACTGCTCCATCTTTAATCTCTCATATGCAAAGAAAGAACCAAAATATACATAGCAAGTATGGTAACCAGAGAGGTTTATAATTTTTTTTTTTTAATTTTGGTGTATATGCTGCATTTTTAAGTCATGAACTGGCTTACTGTTGAGACGCCCCCTTTGTGGGGAGGTGATCTTGGTCTGTGGTAGAGAAGGGGGTGATTAGCCTTGGCTTCCAGGCTGAGAGATGGCAGGCGTCGTTGAGTGCCGTGTTGGCCCACACATGTTGGCACAGCTGTCGGAAGCCCCTGGGAGAGGGGCGTCGTGGAGGAAGTGGTCCTTGGGATGAGGCAGCACTGCGTCTGCGTGACTGCTGGTGTCGGGGAGGCTTGGCTCTGTTGACTCTTGGTGTTGCGAACCCCCTCCTGTGTGACTTCAGTGGTCTGTCATAGAGGACACTGGTGACCTTCTTTCATCTGAGTTGGGTGTCTCTGGTGTGAGTGGGGGTGGTGGATCCGGTGTGTCTGGGCTCGTGTGCATCACATGCTCTCAGACCAGATCCTCGGACTTCTCATGGTCCGGCTGGGGAGGCCGAGGGCCGAGGGTGGTGGCAGCATGCGCTGCAGACTCATCCTGGAAATGGAACTCAGTGAGCTGGGCAGACGGGCACTGTGGGACTGAATGAGCTGCTCAGGGTTTGTGGGCAGGAGCGGTGTGTGCAGGGCTCAGAGGCGCGAGCTGGCTCTTGGGGGCTGCATTGGTCTGTTCGCGGCAGGAGATGAGGCCGAGGCACTAATGCTGGGGGCCAGAGAAGTGTTTGCACAGGGTGAGGGGGGCACCTGGATGACATGTCACCACCAGGATGACATGGGAATCCAAGCTGAGGCAGAGAGTGAAGTCGCTCCGTCGTGTCAGACTCTGCAACCCCATGGACTATAGCCTACCAGGTTCCTCCGTGTGTGGAATTCTCCAGGCAAGAATACTGGAGTGGGTTGCCATTTCCTTCTCCAAGAGATCTTCCCAACTCAGGGATTGAACCCGGGTCCCCTGCGTTGTAGGCAGACGCTTTACTGTCTGAACCGAGGTGGATAGGAAAGGAGGCGTTCAAGGAAAAGCAGATGAAATTGATGAGCACTGTTGAGCAGTCGGCCGTGGAAAGTGTATGGGAAGGGTCTTGACCAGAGCAGGCCGCAGCTCACTCACTGATGGAGTCGCAGGTGGGGTGGGGAGGTCTGAACTGCGAGGAGCCCGTCATCCTAAGAAGTGAGGAGGGCCGAGTGCAGCGTGCGGGAGGAGGCCGCCAGGGGTCGAGGAGCGGGTGCCTTGGGGGGGCCTCGAGCTTGGTGCCTGGGGGCTCTGTGACCAGGTGGCCCCGGGTGGGAGTGGGGTGAGCTCCAGGAGGAGGAGGTGCCATGGAGAGGGCGGGAGGGTGTGCCCGCAGGCCTGTGGGGCCCGTCCCGGGCGGGAGGCGGCGGGCAGCCGGGCCCTGGGTCACGGGCGTCCTCTTTGTGTTCCAGCGCTCGCGCCTCCTGCTCCGCCACCGCCACCCATCCAAGGATATGCCTTCAAGCCTCCACCCAGACCCGACTTCGGGACCTCCGGGAGAACAATCAAGTTACAGGCCAACTTCTTTGAAATGGACATTCCAAAAATTGACATCTATCACTATGAGTTGGATATCAAGCCAGAGAAATGCCCAAGGAGAGTTAACAGGTATTCTGTTTTGTCTGTCTTTTAAGACGAATCCACCCTTCAGGTCTCAGCAGATCCCTTGGGACCTCTTTCCCTCAGAGAAGCTTCCATTGTGTTCTTTGCTTTTTAACATTCTTGTGTTGAGATACAGTGAGTGCACATTGTCAGTGTGCAGTTCAGTGAGGGTTCACCCCAGAAAGCTGCCCTGTAACCCAGCCCCCAGCCCCCCACAGTGTTCTGGGGTCTGCCCTGGAGGCGCACTGCCCGCGGGGTGAATGGAGGCGCCCGACCCGCGACAGAGCCGCCTTCGCCCTGCTCCTCTCACTCATCGGGCTGTGAGCCTGACCTGTGGCTCTGTGCGAGTTGAGACCTTCTTGCTCTTACTGCAGAGGAATGTGTAGTGATGCGATTATTTCATCATTCATTTCCTCGTCCTTCCATTTGGTGCTCCGGCGCTCTGCTGTGATAAATGAAGCTCCTGGGAACATGCTTGTTCAAGTCTTTCTTGTGGACGAGTTTTCACTTCTCTTGGGTGAATACCTGGGGGTGGAGTAGGTGGGTCAGAGGGTAGTGCAGCTTTAGCTGCGTGGGACGCCGATTGCACCGTCTCCCGCTCCCAGCGGCCATGAGGCTCTGCTGCCCCATGTGCCACCATCAGCACTTGGCTCAGTTAGTCCTTGTGATTTTTGCTATTTCAGTGAGGGAGTAATGGTTTCCTCAGTTCAGTCGCTCAGTCGTGTCTGACTCTTTGCGACCCCATGGATTGCAGCACGCCAGGCCTCCCTGTCCATCACCAACTTATTGTGGTTTAATTTCCATTTCTTGATAACCAATGAACTGAGCACCTTTTCATGTGTTATTTTTTAGTAAAATATCTATTGAGGTCTTTCCCTTATTTTATGGGTTGTATTTGTCTTGCTACTGATTTGTAGGGCTTTTAACTAGTATATTCTAGGTTTGAGTCCATACTGGAAATATTTTCACCCAGGCTGAAGCTTATTTTCCTTTTCACTTTTCGTTTCATTTTCTTTTGTTGTTCAGTTGCTAAGTCATGTCCGACCCTTTGCAGCCCCGTGAACTGCAGCACGCCAGACTCCCCAGTCCTTCACTGTCTCCTAGAGTTTGCTTAGATTCATGTCCATTGAGTTAGTGATGCCATCCAACCATCTCATCCTCTGCTGTTCCCTTCTCCTTCTGCCCTCAATCTTTCCCAGCATCAGGGTCTTTTCCAGTGAGTTGGCTCTTCTCATCAGGTGGCCAGAGTATCAGAGCTTCAGCTTTAGCATCAGTCCTTCCAATAAATATTCAGGTTTGATTTCCCTTAGGATTGACTGGTTTGATCTCCTTGCAGTCCAAGGGACTCTCAAGAGTCTTCTATAGCACAATTTGAGAGCATCAGTTCTTTGGCACTCAGCCTTCTTTATTGTCCAACTTTCACATTCATACATGACTACTGGAAAAATCATAGCTTTGACTATACTGGTCATTGTCGGCAAAGTGATGTCTCTGCTTTTTAATACACTGTCTTGGTTTGTCATAGCTTTCCTTCCAAGGAGCAAGCCTCTTTTAATTTCATGGCTGCAGTCACCATCCACAGTGATTTTTGAAGCCCAAGAAAATAAAGTCTGTCACTGCTTCCACTTTTCCCCCCATCTTATTTGCCGTGAAAGGAGGGGACCAGATGCCATAATCTTGAGTTTTAAGCCAGCTTTTTCACTCTCCTCTTTCACCCTCAAGAGGCTCTTTAGTTCCTCTTCACTTTCTGCCATTAAGTGGTATCATCTGCATATCTAAGATTGTTGGTATTTCTCTCAGCAGTCTTGATTGATTCCAGCTTGTGATTCGTCTATCCCAGCATGTCACATAATGTACTCTGCATATAAGTTAAACATAGTGACAATATACAGACTTATACTCTTTTTCCAACTGGTTCGCATTTTGAACCAGTTCCATGTAAGGTTCTAATTGTTGATTTTTGACTTGCATACAGATCTGTCAGGAGACGAATAAGGTGGTCTGGTATTCCCATCTCTTTAAAAATTTTCCACAGTTTGCTGTGATCCACACAGTCAAAGGCTTTAGAGTAGTCAGTGAAGCAGAAGTAGACATAAGAGATGCGTAATAAACAGGATTCAAACCTCCCCTGGGAGGCCCAGAAGGATTTCCAGTCTGTTTATCCTTGTGCATCCTGCCAGTGATGAATCCTCCCAGCATTTTTTAAAATCTGAAAATATGGTTAACTTTCTCCTCCTTTTTGAAAGGTTTTGCTGGATGTAGAAATTTAAACTGGCAGTTTCCCCCAGTACCTTAAATGAGATGTTATTGCATTGACTTTTGGGCGTCCCCGTGGCTCACATGGTACGGAATCTGCCTGCAAGGCGGGAAACCTGAGTCTGATCCCTGGGTTGGGAAGACCCCCTGGAGGAGGGCACGCCCACCCACTCGAGTGTTCTGCCTGGAGAAGCCCATGGACAGAGGAGCCTGGCGGGCTACCGTCCGTGGGGTCTCAAAGAGCCAGACACGACTGACTAAGCACACTCACTATCTTTTAATCCTCATTGTTTCTGATGGAATCTCAGGGACTTGTTCTGTTCTGTTTTTTAATTGTAGTTCCTCAGTATGTATCTGCCTTCTTCCTCCAAATACTTTCTATTTAATTTTGCTTTTCAGCAGTTTGACTGTGATGTGCCTAGGTCAAGTTTTCTTTGTATTTTTCCTTCTTGGGATCCTTTAGGTTTTTTAGATGTGTATGTTTGTGTCTTTCATGTTATTTGGGTGAAATACCGGCCATCATTTAACTATTTTTCCTGTCCAATTTCCTCCTCTCCTACCAGGATTGCAATTCTGTGTATGTTAGACCATGTGATACTGTCTTGCGATTGTAATTAAAAAAAAAAAAAAAAGTTCCCCTTCTTTTCTGTTTGGGTAGCCTTCATTGGTCTCTCTTTAACATCACTTTATTCCTCCCCACTCTTTTTTGGTAATATCCAGTCTTCTGTGGTAACCATCCAATAAATTTTTTTCATTTATATACTGTACTTTTTGGTCCTAGGATTCCCGTTTGGTTCTTTTTCATTGTTTACATTCTCTGCTATTTCTCATCTGTTCATTCTCATCTTTTTTCTTGATGACTTTGAATGTTTTTATAGTAACAGCGTATTTATTATAGTAGCACGTGTCTGCTAATTACGACATATGGGTCATTGCAGGGGTTGTTTCTATTGGCAGGTCTTCCCTTAGATTACACGTCACCCTTCTTTGCTCATTCACGTGGATAGTGGGTTTTGCTCACTGAGCATCATGTATTTGCTGTTCTCCCCGGTGCCCAGCCGCGTAGACCCCCCCTCTGCTGCTCCTGCCTCCTCAGGACAAGACTGCTGCTCTGTAACACTCCTGTATCCTGCTGTGGCTTGGGAATTACTCCCAGCAGAGTGAATGTGTGCTTTCCTTCCCCCGGTAATCGCAGTCCTAACCTGCCTCAGTTCCAGTGCCATACGTGGTCCTCGTGTTTTCACTAGTTTTGTAGGATGGGAGGATAAGTCTTCCTACTTTGTCATGGTCAGAAACAGAATTCTGAGCTGCAGTTTGAGAAGTCAGATTGGTTACCTGGTTTGTACTGGTACCCTATAAAATACTCTTTGCTGTAAATTTTTTCCTGATGAGTCTTTGTAAGAGAAAGAATGCTTGGAGCTTGTTTTCCCTTATCTGTAAAACTAAACAGTTGGATGGACTCAATGCGGCTCGTACACATTGTTTCAGACTTTTTAGAAAGTGACTTGGTGTACATGTTAAAATAAAAATAGTACACACCCTTTGACCCACCAACTCTATTTCTGCGTATTTATCCCCAAAAGACATGTCTCCAAAGAAACAATACTTGACAGTTACATGAGGTCCTTTAAATACGTGCTTACTAAAAATGTGTGTGTAAACCAGGGTTTTGGGCACACCTGGTTCAGACAGCTTTGTTCACTGAAGGTCTTCTGGGGTCTTTTACTGTGCCTTACATGCTTCGAGGCACTCCATGAATGGGCAGGAGTGTCTGGTTTTGAGTCTCCTTGGGACCGAGCCCTGTGAGAACCTGTGATTAGGATATAATCTTAGCGCTGGAGTGAAGGCGTGGAAAAGCACGCCTCTGAGCTTTGACTTGGTCTGTCAGCAGTGGGCTCTTACTATGCCATCGCCCACAGTGTACAAGAAGCTTTCTTTTATTCAGATAAGCATGACTAAGGCTTTGTCATCTGGCAGCAGAAAAAGGCTGACGGTGATTAAAATGGGATGTTTTTACCTGACTCTACTCCCACAGACCTGTTGTAGTTATGACTGCGACGTTCTGAAGTTACCCCGGGTCTGGAAATTGCCTTGACTCAAACAGGAAGTAGCCCAGATAAATCTTGAGCTGCACTTTTGTGGCCAGGCCAGCCCAGGCACTAGTGTGCCCTGCTGCTCCCCTGGGTTCAGAGCGGACCTGAGGGCTGCCTCCTCCCGTGTGCGCCTTCAGCGTTCATTTTGCTGGTGATTCTGATGGACCTTGGCTCAGGTTCAATCTCAAAAGTGTAACCAGTCAAAATAGCTTGGAAAACGTCAGAAGTAAAGTTTTTGTGTTAGGAGAACCCATGACGCGCTCGCACCTTGACATGGTCCCTCTCTCCAGCCATGCTACCACTGTGCAACCTCCAGTGTGGCCTGGGCTGCGGTGGGGGCCAGGGAGCCGTGGTTCGTGTCCCCAGTGGGCAGGGCACTGACAGGGCCAGGGCAGCGCTGGAAGACGGGAGCCCGGAGTGGGCGGGCGTCAGACGCAGGAGGTCCGTGCCGCAGGCTGTCCCCCAGACTGACGCCGTCCAGGGAGACCTCAGAATCCCATGTGCTTCCACGCTGCAGTCTGTGTTAAAGCAGGTGTCAGTTCTGAGTTCCCAAAACTTGTGCACTGCACATAGTAGGTAGTTAACACATTCAGCCCTGAGGCTTCGTGCAACACTGGGAGAAAAATGCCATCTACACACGTTCTGATGCGTCATCGTGAATGCTAGCCCAGTGTGCCCTCATCCCTGGCAGTACAGTAGTCACCGTCCTGGGTGGAGCTGTGGGAGGGGGCTCAGTATAAGGCGGGGTCCGTCTTCTCAGGAGGCTTCTAGTGTCCATGTGGCTGCAGTTGGTCACCTGCAACAGCCAGTGCCCAGGGCTGGTCCAGGCCGTGCAGGCCTTTCCACCAGCACCGGAAACCTTGCCAGGAGGTCAGAATTAGCACTTCCGTGCTCAGACACACAGGATGGGCTGCTCGAAGGAAGAAGCTGTGCTCCTGATCTCCGACTGTCCTTTCTCTCTTACTCCTCTTGAGCTCGGTCAAGTGGCTCCTGAAGAACCCTGAGCAGGAGCTCAGTCTGTGCAGGGGAAGTGGGGGCGGTGCAGCCTGGCCCGTGTGGTTTGCAGCCTGCTGCTCACAGGAGGAAATGTGCACCAGTCCAGGCTTCTCAGAAGGTGGCTTTGTACCCCATAGATCTTTGACTCACTAATCCTGCTTTTAAATGTTTATCCCAAAGAGATGTGTACAAGCACATCTAATATTGTCATGGCAAAAAGAGAGAGGGAAAAGAGATCGTTTCAAATCACCCACTGGGGATGGTTAAACAAACACACCGTGGAACACTGAAACCATGGACAGCAGTGAAATGGAGCTTCACAGTATGAACACCACAACCGGAAGTGTAGACAACCATATGGTTTGTCAATAGTGTGTTACAGTACACGATACAGTAACATTTCTATCTCTAGACTTGATGCCACTTTGTGTATATAATGACAAGAGAAGGTCTTAAACACACATACTGGGAAAACAGCAAGCTCCAGAACCATGTGTTTAAAAACGTAATACGTTGTTTGTTTTGTTTTTAATGTACCTATGTATTTGTGTAAAATGCATAGGTTTGAAGATAAGGTTACTTCCGGGAAGAGATGGAAGTAGAGCTGCTCTGGGCGGACTTAGCGCATTACCCAAGTTTGAAATTCACGAGAGTGTGTTAATGCAGAAATCTGTGTAATCAGAGATTAACCAAAGAATACATTAAAAATGTTTAGTGATGTATATTTTTATAACTGGAAGTTTGTATAGCTCTCGATCTCCCTCGCGTGTTTCACTCATCACCCCCTGAAACCACGTGTGTGTTTTCTGTTTCTATGAGTCTCTGTTTTGTTATGTTGGCTCGCTTGTTTTGTACTACGTCCTGTCTGTCTGCCCCTTCTCTCATAAGTGAAATGTCTGCATCTGTGGGTCATTTTCTGGGTCCTCGAGTCTGTCCTGAGTTCAGCTTGTCTGTCCCTCCACTGTCTCTGCCACGGTTTCTGCGTCCACTGTGTTCTTTTTCAAGAATGTGCTTACTGGCCTTTATCCTTCGATATTTCCAAATACACTTTAAAAATTAGCCCCTCTGGATTTTTACTGGGATTGAAAGAGTGAATTTGTTTGGGAAATTGAATATTCCTGTCTATGAATATGGTTTATCAATTGGTGGTTTTGTTTTTAAACATCTTATGGTGTTTTCAGTGCCCCAATAGAGAGTCGTGTATGCCTCTTGGAACTAGCTGTCCCCTGTCCCTCATCCCCTGCACACTTGACTGTGGGGAAGTCCGCTCTTCATTGTCATAGAGTTCACTGGTCCCTTTAGGGAGGACCACATTGGTTTGGCTGATTTACTCCAATCCTGGGGGAGAGAGGAGCCATGAAGGGTGTGGCTTTCTCTTATTTTGTTCTGCATCTGTGTTTATAAGTGAGGTTGTCCCATAATCGCCTTGTCGTGTTTAAGAGAAAAGTTGGGGCGTGTGCCCTCTTAATTCTGTTCACAATAAACTTGAATTCAGTTGGGGTGATTTGTGCTTTGAATGTGGGTGGGACATCCCAATAGAGCCATCTGGACCTTGAGTTGACAGTGAAGTCTTGGCCAAGAAGATGGGGTCCTCGCAGCTTGGGGAGCAGTGGTCTGGAGACAGTGTGGAGGCAGGGGCCACCCTGCCGTGGGTGACCCAGGGTAGTGTGTGGGGCGGCGGGTGAGCCTGCACCCCGGCTGCGGGTCGGGGCGGCGGGGTCGGGGTCAGAGTGGCACCAGCTGTCCTGGAGGCTTCATACCTGCTGGGCTGGGGTCTCTTGGTGGGTGTCAGAGGCTCGGTGCGTTCCTCATGAAGCCAGTGAGGCAGAGGCTTGCGGCAAGGCTGAGCCCTGGCACGCCTCCCTGTCCTCTGCCCTGGACAGAGTCAGGAGGTGGGCGTGCAGTGCCGCTGTGCTGGGAGTGCGGAGAGGCTGGTGGGTGGACAGGTAGGCAGAGCGGGGGGCGAGGTGAGGCCACAGGCCGCTCGGTCCTCGAGCCCCGTAGCAGAACAGCTGCTTCGTGCCGCTGGGTTCCTGCTGCCCGAGGAGCTGACAGCCCCAGAATCTCTGTCACTTAGAACAGCAAACCTCCGTGTCAGGTTCAGGGTCTTTGTTCCAGAGCCCAGACTGAAAAGGCAGCAGCACCCAGAGCGTGTTCTGCAGCGGGTCACAGAAGCAGGAGGCCAGGCCGCGCCGCGCTGGCCCCTGGTGTTGTGGGGCGGGAGTGCTCTGTCAAGGCGCAGGGGCCTCGGCCTCAGGAGGAGGCGCGCTGTCTGCTGGATAGGCGTGCGCAGCAGGGGCGTGGGGGGCTCTCCCGTGTTTGAGCCTCGGGGTGAGTGAGCGTCAAGCACCCAAGGGTCTCGTTTGGTTTCTTGTAGAAGGAAGTTGAAAGTCAGGTTATTTATTTATTTATTTTTTTGAAAGTCAGGTTATTAAAACAAGCCACAGTGCTTATAAAAATTGCTTAAAAACCTGTGTCAAAAGAATGTCACCCTTGTATGCCCTTTCCTTGGTTTTATTGACGTTTTGCTCAAATTCTGTCTTGTTTCAGGGAAATAGTGGAACATATGGTTCAGCACTTTAAAACACAGATCTTTGGGGATCGGAAACCAGTGTTTGACGGAAGGAAGAATCTCTACACAGCGATGCCCCTTCCGATCGGGAGGGATAAGGTGAGCTCATGGAGGCAGGTTGGGTGGAGCAGTATTTGAGCGGTCAAGCCTGCTGTCCCTCTGGTCACACACGGAGTCACTTCCCCCAGGGGCAGAGAGCCCCCAGCGGCTGTGTGCTTCACGGCAGGGTCCACAGATGCCACCTTCTGTGGGCTGTGGTCTGCAGCGGCAGAGGGCGAAGTCATCTAAGTCCAGGGAAAGACACCGAGAACATCCCGAAACCATGAAACTGTTAAATGAGAACCACACATGTGTGCGCGCATGCTCCAGACCAGCCCCAGACAGGAGCCTGCATCATGGGGTGGGTCTGTGACGACCTGGAGAGAAGTGTGTTCGTGCAGGTGTAGACAGGTGCCACACTGGCAGCAAAAGCAAGCGATCACTCAGCTGTAACTAGCCATTCGTCCGCAGTGACACCATGATTCATCACCCTGGGGTCGTGGTTGGATTAACATGTCACCTCTTCCTGCTGCCTTCATGCTTGCTGTGGCTTTATTTAAAAGGCATTATCCCTTCTGCCTAGCACCTGCCACTTCTTGGCACATCTTCCAATCAATGGGCTGCCCTGCTTTGATGATAGGTGTTGTTTGTAAGGGAGGAAGACCGAAGATGGCGTGGAAATCATTTTTACATGTACGGGGTGGGGGAGGGGAACAACATCAAAAAACAAACAAGTAATTGAACAATTATCCCAATAAGAATGTAAAAGCTGATTCCCTTCAGGAATGATGTACACAATTAGCCTCTTACCAAAAGAGTCTCTGGGAAGGAAAATAGCTCAGAGCTTAGAGGATCTGAGATCTGAGGCTACTGCCCTGTGACCTGCAAGTTCTCTGCAGACAGGACATTGTGGTTTTGCTTTTGCATTTTAATGATAATCTTAAAATGACTAAGCTCCTCTACTGGGCTGGATGGCCAGCAGGGCCTGTTGTTTCAGCTCCCAGTGGCATGGCTGGGAATTGCGGTGCTCTGATAGGACGCCTCCGTTAGGACTGAGGCGAGGCGAGGCAGTGATGAGGGCCCCTGAGATAACAGCCTGCCTCTCACGAGCCCTGCCTGGCTCTGGGGACCAGATGCCAGCCGGTCAGCTGAGCAGAACCACCTCTTGCAAATGAACATGCTCTCTGCCTTTGAAATGGGGCTTCCCTCGTGCTCAGATGGGAAGGAATCTGCCTGCAATGCGGGGGACCCGAATTCAATCCCTGGAGAAGGGAATGGGTGGACTTACGCCAGTCTTCTTGCCTAGAGAATTCCATGCAATCCGTTCCATTTAAAGTGTATTAGTTACAAAGTTTTATGTTTAATTTGCACATTTGTTTTTGTTTAAAGTTGTATAAGAAAGAAAAGCCTAAGGAGTTTACTCACAGTGTTGTCTGTTCATATTTATAATTAGGTACTGGGGGACCTGAGGAATATTTTCTTTCAGAAGGGGTGGGGGAGGACGTGTGGTGGTCAGAGCTGAGACAGAGTTGTTGTCGACGTTGACACAGGGCCGGGGTGGTAGTGGGTGCGAGCCAAGTGCCTTCCTGGCCCTAGGTAGTGGTGGCGCCTTGGGTGAGCTGCCTCTCCTGCCCCCCTGTGAAATGGGAGGTGGTGTGGCAGCCACCTGCCAGGGCCCTTGTGCCCCCACAGTGAGTGAATGCACCCTGAGAAGGCTTCTCCACTGTTTGTGTTCCCCCATAGCCCTGGGGCCTCTTTAAGTGCTGGTTCTGGTTCCAGGTCTGGGGTATCTACAGCTTTAAGCAGCTCTCCTGGGTGATGCCCACGCTCCTGACCCCAAATCATGCCGGTGGGGTGGGGGGGCATCAGGGTTTAAAGTACTTAGTCACAGCGCCGGGAGCATAGCACACACTTAGCAGATGCTAACAGTGACAGTTGCAGGTCTGAGGGTTCGCCTCTGTCATCTTAACCGCAGTTGTGTGGGGTGCCCACAGCAGCACTTTGGATGTTTCACCAGGTCTTGGTGGGTGCTTTGCATGTCTGCTCATTCGTGTCCAAGTCTTTGTGATCCCATGGACTGTAGCCCGCCAGGCTCCTCTGTCCATGGGATTCTTTAGGCACGAAGACTGGAGTGGGTTGCCACTTCCTCCTCCAGGGGGTCTTCCTGACCCAGGGATGGAACCCGCGTCTCCTGCATTGGTGGGCCAATTCTTTACCATTGAGCCACTTGGTGTCTCTTAGCTTGAAGCCCACCCATCTTCATCCTTTGCTCAAGTGGGCTTAGAGAACCTGGCCCCAGCCTCAGGGTCTGGTTTGGGTAGAGTCTCCAGATGCCAGACCCCTCCTTCCAGTCACCTGTAATATCTGTCACATGTTTGCGAGGTGCAGAAATTCATGTCTTCTGTTTGGGAGCTCGTGTGAGATGCTGCCCTTTCTGTTCCCTGCATTCACATCTTGCAGCAAAGTGTCGTCTTTTCTTTTCTTCCCCTTCTACGTGTGCTCTTTTTCCATCACTGCTTTTGTTTGCATCACAGGCACTTGTGTAGTAAGAGAGGAAATCCTTTTATGTCCCCAGTTGCCCTGAGTCTGCTGGCAGCTGCCCGGGGTGTCCACACCGTGCCCGGGGCCCTGACCCTGGGCGGGCAGCTGTTGCCCTCCACTCCTCATCTCTCCCGCCAGCCCTCCCTCCTCCATGCCAATCCCACGCTGGCTGAAAGCCCCCCGCAAGCCAGGCCTGCCCTTCCCTTCTCTGTGCAGGAGACCGGGGAGCTGTGCGGGCTGCTCGCCATGTAGGTGTCGCTTCTGCTCTTCTTCAGCAGGGACATGACATGAGTTGCAGCCGGGAGTGTGTTCGCTTGTTGCCCATGATGCTCCCCTAGTGGGTCTATAGACGTCTGGGTGAGTGGTGCTCCCGCCCCCCCCCCGGTGCTCCTTCCACCCTCCAGGGAGGCTCCAGGCGGAACCCTGCTCTGTCATCCCGGTGATGTGCAGACAGGAAGGACCCAGTGTGTGACTTCCGTCTGTCCACAGAGGTCGGCCCTCGGGGCCGTCTCCCGTCTTCCAGGCCTGTGGTGGTGCCTCTGCTGACTGCCCACGGTGAGAAGGTGGCGGGAGGCGTCTTCCTGGTCACGGCTCCCGTGCGCTGGTGCCCTCGTGTGCACGGTGTCTGTGATCCCGGGGGCCGCCCGCTGTCCCGCGTTACAGATGGCATCCTGGAGGAGCCCCCTGCCCAGGTCAGGCTGCAGAGGGCAGCCTCTTGAGGCGTGTCTGACATAGAATGTTGCAGAGCTTGGAGCTTCTTCTGTTCCCTTTTTGCCGGGGACCGAGAGGAGGCTGGTCTGGACTCTACTTGAAAACAGGAGGACCTCTTCCTGAAGGGAAATGCCCCTCCAAATCCCTCCTTGGTGGGATTATAGAGGCGTTTCTGAAGAATGACCTTAACAGGCATCTAACTTAGCACCAGTTCCTGAGCACGGCGGGCGTGACGTGCCCGCTGGTGTCATGTGTGAGGGGAGCAGGTGTGAGGCCCCGCCCACCTGCTGGCCAAGCTTTGCAGCCGCATGCGGGTCTCTGCCGGCCGCACTCACACCTCCCCCGGCTGCCCCCACAGCCCCCGTCCTGACGACTCAGGCTAAGCTGGTGCTCTCTTGACGGCTTTCATCGGCTGCGTGCGCGCCCTTAACATGTCCTCTGTCTTGAGACACATCTTACCGTAGCAGCCTCTGTGGCTAGCTTCTTCTGTTCAGTGTCAGGTGCTTGAGACCCGTCCGCTGGGAAGAACGGGCTCCTTTTCACGCTCTGCTCATCCTTGGCTGGAGCCCAGGCCGTGTACAGTTTGGGGCCTGCGTGCATCTTAGGCGTGCGGGTCTTCATGTGTTCTGGTTGCTGCTCTGGGGTACCTGAGCGGGGGTGGCAGTGCAAGAGGGAGTGCTCCCCGAGGCTGGGGGCTGAGCGGAGGGATAGTGCAGGCGTTGGGGCGGGGTGATGCGAGGGAGTGCGAATGAGCCCCCCAGTCATCACATGTGAGTGGCAGGGCCTCTGACACCAGCCCCTGTCTTCCCTTTCATGGTGGTGGTTGAAGCTGCTTTCTCTGCCTTCTTGGCCCTCGTGATGCTGGTCCCGCGGCATTTCTGTGCTCAGGTGGGCACAGACAGCCCTCCAACAGTGTCGTGACCTGTTTGCCCGGGGCCAAACCATCCACCACCATCCACATCCTCCTCTCACTGTGGTCTCCCTTAGCGACAAGTCTAATCCAGCAGGAAGGTTGGGAATGTCCGTCCATCTCCATCATTGTCAGTGTCTTGCTCTGTTTTATCTCGAGTCTGTTCTGAGAAGGCTCGTGCTTGTGATTTATTCACTGCAAAACTAGCTTATGGACTCGGAGACTCAGGAAACAGGAACCCCCCTGCCCAGATCCACTGCAGTTTTCTCAGTCCCACCGGAGAAAGAATAAACTGCCCAGGACCCCCAGAGAGCTGCCCACACTCCCTTCCTCTGTTCCAAGAGCAGCCTTGTTTGTGCCTGCGTCCTGCTTTCCCTGTCCTGGGGTTTCCTTCTCTCAGAAGCCACCCCAGCCCCTGGCGGTGCTGGCCACTGGCTCTGGCTGCCACCATCTATCTGGTCAGGCTTGGGAGGCATGGGACCTCCAGGTTGGGGGGCTGGCATTGCCATTCCTGTGCATCTGGATGAAGGACCGGCTGAATTTCCCTAATCTTGGGCATTCTGGAAGCCAGCTGGCCCCGGGAGGGGTGTGGATCCTTCCACACATAGACCCACCACCCCCAAGCGAGGTCTGCGCTCAGCATCTCCCTCTCCGCCCTGTGGAGGAGCTGAGCGGGGCTGAGTGGGGAAACTTGCACGGAAACAGTGCTCGGCTGGCTTGGCCACAGGGAGGCACCTTTCAGGGCTGTGGAGTCTCCCCACTCTGGCTTCCTCAGAAGGAAGCGTGAGTAGCCGTGTGCTCGGGTCCCCTCCCAGGTGGAGCTGGAGGTCACGCTGCCGGGAGAGGGGAAGGACCGCATCTTCAAGGTGTCCATCAAGTGGGTGTCCTGCGTGAGCTTACAGGCGTTACACGATGCACTTTCGGGGCGGCTGCCCAGCGTCCCCTTCGAGACGATCCAGGCCCTGGATGTGGTCATGAGGCATCTGCCGTCCATGAGGTGAGGACCACCCATGGGGTGGGGGCTGGAGGAGCAGGAGGGTCTGCCTCCAGCGCCCCTGTTTCCTGAGGATGTGAATCTGCTCTCCCAGAATGCGCTGGGCCTGGGGGTCAGGGTGGTGACACACACGGGCTTATAGGGCGAGGGCAGCAGCAGTGCCAGCCAGGAGCATGAGCTGGTGGGGTCTCAGGCAGGCACACACAGCACAGTCCCACCGGAGAAAGCGTGACTGCCCCGGCCTCCCCGGGAGCTGTGCTCACCCCCTTCCTGTGTCCCGAGACAGGCACACACTCCCCATCTCTGGGCACAGTCGCTCCACCCGGCACGTGCGCGGGGTCCCACTTCTTGGGCGCCCGCACGCCTGTGTTCCAGCTCCGTGCTCAGCTGGCCTGCGCCACATGGAGGAGCCTTTCAGGACCATGGAGGTTTCCCACTTTGGCTCTATCCTGTGGGGTTTTTCCCCCCACTAATCAGCACATTTGAACCTGCCGGGACAATTGGGACAGCTTGTAATTGACCAGACGGAGGCTCAGAGTTGCACGGGTCCCCATGCGGGAGCTCGGGCTTCTCCCGGGTCGTCTCTTCCTTCCACATGTGTCCCGCACAGTGGGACCCCTGGAACTGTTTGAATGATTAAGTAAAAGAGGGAACATTTGAAACTGAAATGAACCTCCCAACTGCACTCTCCCAACCCCAACCAGATCTCTAAGATGTGAATGTAAGAGGAGGCGCCTTGAAGGGCCGGGTGGGTTTTTACAGGGGGCCCTGCTCTTCTGCAGACAGAGCAGCCTGTCCCTCAGGGCAAGGGTCCCCTCCCACCCCCAAATGTAGTCTGTCACTGCTTGAAACTGTTGCTAGTGGGGAAGGTACGTAGGTGAAAAAAACAAAAAACAACTCTTAAGGGTTGTTGCCAAAATGTCAAATCCATTTATTAAATGAGCAGCAGGAATTGATGTGATTTCCGCCCCCCCCCCCCCGCCCCCGAATTGCTTTGAATTAATCATCAAGTTACTTTTATCATCAGGAGGAAAGTCTTTGGGAAGAGTGGAGAAAGAGACAGGATGAGCACGTCTGTGGGGAGACAGAGAGCAGGCTGTGTGTCCTGGTTGGCGGCTGCATCTGCAGGCAGCGGGGTCTTCTCTTGGGGACCCTCAGCGATGCTGCAGTCCCTGACTGCTGCCCTGAGAGTGTGGGGGCCTCCAGCTCTGAGCCCCGGCGGGAATTGGCCACAGGAGGGGTGTGGATCTTTCCACACGTAGACCCACTACCACCAAACAAAGTCTGAGTTCAGCGTCTCCCTCTCCACCCTGTGGAGGAGCTGAGTGGAACAGCCGTGGCCCGGTGGCTTGGTCTCTGAGAGGTCCTTGGCCTTCAGCGCCAGAGGCCCTGAGGCCCGGGTGGGGCCTGTCCAGCTGGCTGACCATGGTCACCTGAACCCCTGCCCCGCCCCACCCTCCGCCCGAGAAAGGTGTGAAGTGCTGGCTGCAGGCAAGGCATCGAGGTGGGAGGGTCCCATGGGAAATGGAAGTCAGGACCGGGCCAAGTGCCCTCAGTTCTCGGCGGGTGTTCTCCTGTGTGTTCCCTGCATGTGGGACACCCGCAGGGTGCGTGCCTGCTGGCACCACCAGACGAGGCTCCCATTGCAGGTACACCCCCGTGGGCCGCTCCTTCTTCACGGCATCTGAGGGCTGCTCCAATCCTCTGGGCGGGGGCCGAGAGGTGTGGTTTGGATTCCATCAGTCTGTCCGGCCTTCTCTCTGGAAGATGATGCTGAATATCGACGGTAAGCAGAGCCCTGGTGCCAGGGTGGGGTTCAGGGGGAGGGCCCCTGAGGCCAGCTCCACCTTCACCTGCTGGTGCGCAAGGGCAGCAGCGCTCAGGCTCGACCGTCAGAGTCTCTGGAGGGCCCACTCCCCAGGTGGTGGCTCAGGCAGCTGTGGGGGCTCCCGGCTGCCCCTGTGTTGGATAAACTTCAGCGAGATGGGAGGCCAGGAGGTGGTCAGAAACTGCCAGAAAACCCACGGCTTGTGGCCGTCAAGCCCAGCTTTACTCTCAGAGGGTGACCTTAGCCTCTACCAGCACCTAGCGCTGCCCTGGCTGGAGTGGGCAGTAGCAGCCTATGCCCTGGCGTGAGTCCCTGCTGCGGGTCCGCTCCACGGGCAGGGGCCACGGAGGCCAGGTGCCCTCCCGCCTGCCGGGGGCTCAGCCGTGGGAGGGGCTGCGCCAGGCGATCCAGTCACACCTGTGCTCCCGTCTCTTCTCTTCCCGCCCACAGTCTCGGCAACAGCGTTCTATAAGGCACAGCCAGTCATTGAGTTTGTTTGTGAAGTCTTGGATTTTAAAAGTATTGAAGAACAACAGAAACCTCTGACAGATTCCCAAAGGGTCAAGTTTACCAAAGAAATCAAAGGTAAGCAGCTGCCTGCCTCAGGCCCGAGGGGCGCATGGCCAAGGGGGCCCACGTTTCTCCTTGGAGGTGGGGGCAGTTGATGTCAGACTCATCAGCACGGGGACAGGATGGCCCGTGGCATCCAAACATGGAGGAGAGCGGCCCAGGGTTGCAACAGGACATAACCAGCGTCTCAGAAGTTCCAGAACGTTGGCTCCTCACCACTTGGGGTGTCTGTACACATCAAGCCTGGTCTCCACTTGAGGAAGTGCAGTCCAGGGCGCCGTGGCCAGGCTGGGTCCTCCTGCCCACCATCTGGTTGCTGGAAACGCCTCAGAGCCCGGCCCTCGGCACCTGTCCTTCCCCGGGGTGTACAGAGGTCAGCAGCAGGGCTTTCTGCTAAGAATAACCCCGCAGGAAGCACAGAAGGCCGTGGGCGCGGACACCACGCTCTCAGCGGAGCCCCGTCGTCCGTTGTCTCTGAGCACAGGCCTCGGGCCTCACCACCCCTGGGCCAGGGGGCACCCCTGCGGGTGAGATGGCCCAGCCCCAGGCCCTCAGCATGGGTCTGCGAGTGAGGGTCCCCTGAAAGCCAAATGGTCTTTGGTGGGGTGTCGCGACAGGTCAGGCCTAGTCTTGATGCTGAAGCCCAGCTGCTCTGTGTCCTCAGGTCTAAAGGTGGAGATAACGCACTGCGGGCAGATGAAGAGGAAGTACCGCGTGTGTAACGTGACCCGGCGGCCGGCCAGCCACCAGACGTAAGTCCCTTCAGACTCCCCCAGCCCCTGGACGAGAGTCCCTCCAGACACCCCCCAGGTCCCAGACGAGAGTCCCTCCAGACTCCCCCAGCCCCCGGACGAGAGTCCCTCCAGACTCCCCCAGCCCCTGGACGCGAGTCCCTTCAGACTCACCCAGCCCCCGGACGAGAGTCCCTTCAGACTCCCCCAGCCCCCGGACGAGAGTCCCTTCAGACTCCCCCCAGCCCCCGGACGAGAGTCCCTCCAGACTCCCCGCAGCGACTGGACGTGAGTCCCTTCAGACTCCCCCAGCCCCCGGACGACAGTCCCTTCAGACTCCCCCAGCCCCCAGACGAGAGTCCCTCCAGACTCCCCCCAGCCCCCGGACGCGAGTCCCTTCAGACTCTCCCCCAGCCCCCGGACGAGAGTCCCTCCAGACTCCCCCCAGCCCCCGGAAGCGAGTCCCTCCAGACTCTCCCAGCCCCCGGACGAGAGTCCCTTCAGACTCCCCCAGCCCCCGGACGCGAGTCCCTTCAGACTCCCCCCAGCCCCCAGACGAGAGTCCCTCCAGACTCCCCCAGCCCCCGGGCGAGAGTCCCTTCAGACTCCCCCAGCCCCCGGACGAGAGTCCCTTCAGACTCCCCCCAGCCCCCGGACGAGAGTCCCTCCAGACTCCCCCCAGCCCCCGGAAGCGAGTCCCTCCAGACTCTCCCAGCCCCCGGACGAGAGTCCCTTCAGACTCCCCCAGCCCCCGGACGCGAGTCCCTTCAGACTCCCCCCAGCCCCCAGACGAGAGTCCCTCCAGACTCCCCCAGCCCCCGGGCGAGAGTCCCTTCAGACTCCCCCAGCCCCCGGACGAGAGTCCCTTCAGACTCCCCCCAGCCCCCGGACGAGAGTCCCTCCAGACTCCCCGCAGCGACTGGACGTGAGTCCCTTCAGACTCCCCCAGCCCCCGGACGACAGTCCCTTCAGACTCCCCAAGCCCCCAGACGAGAGTCCCTCCAGACTCCCCCCAGCCCCCGGACGCGAGTCCCTTCAGACTCTCCCCCAGCCCCCGGACGAGAGTCCCTCCAGACTCCCCCCAGCCCCCGGAAGCGAGTCCCTCCAGACTCTCCCAGCCCCCGGACGAGAGTCCCTTCAGACTCCCCCAGCCCCCGGACGCGAGTCCCTTCAGACTCCCCCAGCCCCCGGACGCGAGTCCCTTCAGACTCCCCCCAGCCCCCAGACGAGAGTCCCTCCAGACTCCCCCAGCCCCCGGGCGAGAGTCCCTTCAGACTCCCCCAGCCCCCAGACGAGAGTCCCTCCAGACTCCCCCAGCACCCGGACGCGAGTCCCTTCAGACTCCCCCCAGCCCCCGGACGCGAGTCCCTTCAGACTCCCCCCAGCCCCCGGACGAGAGTCCCTCCAGACTCCCCGCAGCGACTGGACGCGAGTCCCTTCAGACTCCCCCCAGACCCCGGACGCGAGTCCCTTCAGACTCCCCCCAGCCCCCGGACGAGAGTCCCTCCAGACTCCCCGCAGCGACTGGACGTGAGTCCCTTCAGACTCCCCCAGCCCCCGGACGCGAGTCCCTTCAGACTCCCCCCAGCCCCCGGACGCGAGTCCCTTCAGACTTCCCCCCAGCCCCCGGACGAGAGTCCCTCCAGACTCCCCCAGCCACAGGACGCGAGTCCCTTCAGACTCCCCCCAGCCCCCGGACGAGAGTCCCTCCAGACTCCCCCAGCCCCCGGACGAGAGTCCCTCCAGACTCCCCCCAGCCCCCGGACGAGAGTCCCTTCAGACTCCCCCCAGCCCCCGGACGCGAGTCCCTTCAGACTTCCCCAGCCCCCGGACGTGAGTCCCTCCAGACTCCCCCAGCCCCCGGACGAGAGTCCCTCCAGACTCTCCCCAGCCCCCGGACGAGAGTCCCTCCAGACTCCCCCCAGCCCCCGGACGAGAGTCCCTCCAGACTCTCCCCAGCCCCCGGACGAGAGTCCCTTCAGACTCCCCCCAGCCCCCGGACGCGAGTCCCTTCAGACTTCCCCAGCCCCCGGACGTGAGTCCCTCCAGACTCCCCCAGCCCCCGGACGAGAGTCCCTCCAGACTCCCCCCAGCCCCCGGACGAGAGTCCCTCCAGACTCCCCCCAGCCCCCGGACGCGAGTCCCTTCAGATTTCCCCAGCCCCCTGACGAGAGTCCCTCCAGACTCCCCGCAGCGACTGGACGCGAGTCCCTTCAGACTCCCCCAGCCCCCGGACGCGAGTCCCTTCAGACTCCCCCCAGCCCCCGGACGCGAGTCCCTTCAGACTCCCCCCAGCCCCCGGACGAGAGTCCCTCCAGACTCCCCCCAGCCCCCGGACGAGAGTCCCTTCAGACTTCCCCAGCCCCCTGACGAGAGTCCCTCCAGACTCCCCGCAGCGACTGGACGCGAGTCCCTTCAGACTCCCCCCAGCCCCCGGACGCAAGTCCCTTCAGACTCCCCCCAGCCCCCGGACGCGAGTCCCTTCAGACTCCCCCAGCCACAGGACGCGAGTCCCTTCAGACTCCCCCCAGCCCCCGGACGAGAGTCCCTCCAGACTCCCCCAGCCCCCGGACGAGAGTCCCTCCAGACTCCCCCCAGCCCCCGGACGCGAGTCCCTTCAGACTCCCCCAGCCACAGGACGCGAGTCCCTTCAGACTCCCCCCAGCCCCCGGACGAGAGTCCCTCCAGACTCCCCCAGCCCCCGGACGAGAGTCCCTCCAGACTCCCCCCAGCCCCCGGACGAGAGTCCCTTCAGACTCCCCCCAGCCCCCGGACGAGAGTCCCTCCAGACTCCCCCAGCCCCCGGACGAGAGTCCCTCCAGACTCCCCCCAGCCCCCGGACGAGAGTCCCTTCAGACTCCCCAGCCACAGGACGAGAGTCCCTTCAGACTCCCCGCAGCGACTGGACGTGAGTCCCTTCAGACTCCCCCCAGCTCTGGCCTCCTCTGTCTCTCAAAGTCCAGACTCTGCACGGTGACTTCTGGAAGTATGCCTTTGGCTTAGTCGATTCCATACTTCACATCGTGGGATAAAATTGTGAAATTCCTCGTGTTTGGGGCAGGAGTGGGGGTGAGATGGAATATGGTGGGGGTGGGTGGGGGAACTCCTCGTCAGTTTTCCCTGAATGTTACCGGCAAGACAAGGGCCTTTGGGGCTCATCTTCCAGCCCTCTGCACTGAGCAGGGGCCTAGGGCATAGTGGGCATGAGTGTTCACTGCCTGGACTCGGGCTATGCCTGGTGCCCCATCACATCACAAGCAGTGTGGGGTCCCCGCCGAGGTAGTAGGTGTCCTGGCCTCACGGGTGCCCTGATGCCTAAGCCGTGTGGCCCCCTGCACCCCACCTGGAGGCCTCCTGGGTCTAGTGAGGACTTGTTAGTTTATTTCGCAGTCGCTCCAGGAGAAGCGCCTGGTGTGTCGCTGGGCACTGGTTATAGCAGTCCGCCCAGGGCCCCGTGAAGCAGGTGGCCACGGTGAGCCTGTGTCCTGGTCCCTGTGCCTGGCACCTTTGGCCCCAGCACAGCCTGTGTGACCGCAGAGGCCCAAGCCGACACAGCTCATCCCTTTTGCTGCCCTGTCTGGAAGGTCTCAGATTCTCTGGGGCAAGCTCTTGGAGCATGCAGCCTGTGAACGACTTTCGGAGTCGGTGCGAGGGGGGCTGGGACGCGCACAGACCGTTCTTCCCGGCTTTGTCTTTGTCTGTCTGGATCCTTTCCATGTCCCCTAGATGTAGGTGTCTCTTGTGATTACTGCATATTGTGGGTGTGGGGGTATTCCGACTCTGGAAATGAAACAAAAGTTTGGGACTTGGGGATGTTCCTGATGACCCAGAGGGTGCGGTTTGGTTTTGACTCCCAAGAGATGCTTTGGATGCCCCTCCACCTCCTTCATCCCTGAGAAAACAGACCCAGAAAGGCTACGTGAGCAGCTGTGTGGGGCCCGGGGCGGGCTCTGAGCCTGAGCAGTCTCTCTCTCCTAGGTTCCCGCTGCAGCAGGAGAGCGGGCAGACGGTGGAGTGCACGGTAGCCCAGTACTTCAAGGACAGGCACAAGCTGGTTCTGCGCTACCCCCACCTCCCGTGTTTACAAGTCGGACAGGAGCAAAAACACACCTACCTTCCCCTGGAGGCAAGCCCCCGCCCTCTGTCTCTGTGGGCTGGGCCCAAACTTTGTAACTCCCGCCACCTTGGGACCTGGGGCAGGTTCACAGACGTGGTCCAGCCTCAGTTTCCACATTAATAAGATGGGTTTGGTAACTCACAGGATTTGTGTGAAGGTCGGGATCATGTGTGTGTGTGCCCAGCAGGCCCCTGGCACAGGAAGTCTAAAATCCACTTCTGGTTTGAAAAATCCTTGCCTAGGAAAAGATCAAACACTGAAATGGAGACCCGAGTTCTAACTGTTATCTGTTAGTGTTTTAAATTCTCCGTGCTTGTCCACTGGCTCAAACATCTGGGCCATGGTTGGGTTTTTCCCATCTGTGTCCCTTCCCAGGCAGCCCCGCCTACGCCCCCCGCCCCCCGTCTGAGGACGGGGTCCACACACCCATGCTGAGGACACAGGCCCACCCGCCCTGTGGCTGTGTTGCTTCCCCTGCGCAGTTCCCAGGCTGTCTCTGTTACACCGGGTTTCCTCGGGGGTTCTGCTGTGGACCGGAGGGCTCCTCGGGGCTGCCGTTCCTAGTGGGTCTCAGGAACATATGCCCCCCCCCCCCACTAGGGTCTGTACTCAGCCCCAGACCCGCCTGCTCCCCCAGCCCACTGCTGACCCAGCTCTCACGTTTCCTCACAGGTCTGTAACATAGTGGCGGGACAGAGATGTATAAAAAAGCTGACCGACAATCAGACCTCAACCATGATCAGAGCGACTGCCAGGTCAGCCCCCGATCGGCAGGAAGAGATTAGCAAGCTGGTGAGCATCCCATCGCTGGTGCAGGCCTTGGGTGGGGACAGGGTCCCCGGGCATGGCACCCTGATGCTCTGGACAGATGCGGCTTCTGGAAGGAAGCAAAGATCGCCCCCCGACTCTGAGCCTCTTCTCTCTTCCCTTTCAAGATGAGAAGTGCCAGTTTCAATACAGATCCATATGTTCGTGAATTTGGAATCATGGTCAAAGATGAGATGACAGACGTGACCGGACGGGTCCTCCAGCCGCCCTCTATCCTCTACGGGGGCAGGGTAGGTGGTGGGCTGGGTGGGGCTGTTCTGTGGGTGTTGGGAGTGTGTGACGGAATGCTGACAGTGAAGCAAGAGCGTTCAACCCCCTTCCCCACCCCCAGAGGTGTAGACCATGGTCAAGGTAGAGTTCTAACCCCCTTCCCCGCCCCCAGAGATGTAGACCGTGGTCAAGGTAGAGTCCTTCCTGCTCCCGTGTGAACCTGTAACAGCTGTTGGGCTTCGTAGAGGACTGGTTTCCTTGACCCTTTAAAGTTTCCTGAGTCCCCCTTTTACTTTTCTAAAGGTAAACTTTATTATCCCACCAAACTTTCAAAAGCATTGTTCTTTGTGTGAGGGGGACGCAGTCAGTGATGAATTGTTATCCACCAGTTCCCTGCTGCTGCTCTGCTTTCTAACTGTTGTTTGGGTGATATTTGGGAACAAGTACCTCAGTTTAGTCACGAGCACAATTCTGTTTTTGCACATTTGACCTCTGGCTCTGGTCAGTATGATCCTGACCCTTGAGCCCCGTAGGGCTCATGAGAAATTCTTTTCTCCTGGGCTTTTCTCCAGCAAGGTGGTGGGTAGGCGGGGGGAGGTGGAGCACAACTTCAAAGGTCACAACTTTGGGAATTCCCTGGTGGTCCAGTTATTAGGACTGGATACTTTCACTGCCGGGACCTGGGTTCAATCCCTGGTCAGGGAACTAAGATCTTACATGCTACATGGCCCCCAAAAGGAAGAGAAAAGCAAAAGTCATGGTGTTTGTCCATTAGGGAGCACCCATGGGAATCTGCGTTCCACCTGACTTGACACTGTTCCACCTGGTGGAGTGGGGCAAGCTTTCATTTTGTTTTGTTTGCAAGTTCTCCCCTTTCTTATTTTAAAATGCAAGTTGTATGTACAAAAATATTAAAAGTTCAAAAAATGCAAAGAATTATAGGGGAAAATACCTCTTTTTTCGCCACATCCCAGCTGATTTTCCAGGAGGCAGTTTTCTTTGTAAAATCACCCTGAGGATTATCCATGCGTGTTTTTTTTTTTCACTCCTTCCTGTGTACATAGCAATGTATTAAATACAGTTCCATACCTTGCCCCTTTCTAACTTACTTTTCTCTTAGATCACAAGGAGGTCTTGGAGTGTGTATGACACGGGGCTCCCTCACTGTTTCAGAGTGTTGCTCGGTAGTCCCCTGTTGGTGGGGTACGCCCCCCAGGCCGTGGGTGTTTGGGGCTGCTCCCCAGTCTCTGCAGGAGGCCTCCTGGCTCCTTCTCAGCCCCCTTGTGCGCCTGGGAGCCCAGACACTGGCCCTGGGGCACCTTCCTACCTTCCTGCAGCCCAGCTGGGAGGCGGATTCCCCTTCGCACGACAGAGGGAGTGAGTCCTGGTATAGCCAGGACTGCAGATCCTGCGTTTTTAGTGAAGGCAGTAGGTGTCTGGAGAACAAAACAGCTCTTTAACCTTGCAGGAATGTTAGAATCGTAAGGATTTGAAGTTTCTCAATGTTCTAAATGAACAAACTTTTCAAAATCTCTTAAACATTTTCTGGGAAGCAAACACTTCTCATCACTGACCCTACGCATTGTCCTGTCAGACACATTAAATGTCCCCCAGAAACGTTCCCTGATGTCTGGAGTCTGACAGCAGCCCACACATGGTGGTGGCTCTCTTTCTCACAAAAGGAGGCTGGCCGGAGCAGGGTACCAGTTTAGGAAAACATATGAAACAGAAACATTCCTTTCTGTAATGTTTGATTTTTACCGTATCCTTGTATTACTTCAGTAAGAAAAATAAAACTGTGAAAGACAGAGTTAACAACCACAGCTCAGACACGCCGTGTCCCTCTGGGCCTCAGGCCCGCAGGCCCCGCTCCCTCCAGCAGCCCTTCCCCGCCACCCCTCCAACTCCAGCCTCGCTTGGAGGCAGCTCACAGGTTCCCTAGGCGACAGTCAGCATGGAGACCTGGTCCTTTCTGGTGGAGAGATGACAGAATGAAGCGGATGCATCATCTGTTGTTTCTGTTCTCCAATGGGAGTAGCCTGAACAACGGTGGGCAGTGGGGAACAGGGCACAGGGGGCTGTGACTTGGTCCCCACCGGCTGGTCCACCCCCAGGTGTCGGGCTGGGAGAAGCACCCTACTTCCGTGCCCTGCCCTGGCTGGTCCTGGAGGAGGGAAAATCCTTAGAAACTCCTTTCTGAGACAGGGGGCCTTCCTGTTCCTCCAGGCTACCTGTGAGGGTGGGTGGGGCTCTGGGCCCTCCCTGCTCACCCGCCCACCCGTTCCCTTCTCCCTCCCGCCCCCCCATCCCTCTGTCCCCCCTCCAGCAACCCTCCGCCCAGTTCACCTCCCCCACCCCACCTCTCCGTCCCTCCATCCTTGGTCTGTGCATCCGTCCGGCCCTCCTGTGAGCACCTGGTGGCCCCCACAGGCCCCCACAGTGCGGGGCCGCTCAGCGCTGGAGGCTGCACACAGGCTCGGCCCTTAACCTCAGGAGCTGCCCTCTGCTTGGGGCCCAGGTGCAGTGGGGACAGTGACAAAATCTAGGTCAGAGGCCTGTTTTCTCCTCACTCTGAACGTCTCGCCATTTGCAGAATAAGGCAATTGCCACCCCTGTCCAGGGCGTGTGGGACATGAGGAACAAGCAGTTCCACACGGGCATTGAGATCAAGGTGTGGGCCATCGCCTGCTTTGCCCCCCAGCGCCAGTGCACGGAGGTGCACCTCAAGTAAGGCTGCCTGGGGGGGTGTGGGGACAGCGGGGAAGCCTGCTCTGCGGGGCTCGCGGGCGGGGGAGGGGGGGCTTGGCGGAGGGCGTTGCCGGGTGGGCCTGGTCAGGAAGGGGGAGCTTTGCTTCTCAGACTTGTTGTAGGAGTGAGTGCAGAGGTGCAGCAGCTCATGTGAGAAACAAAACAGTAAATGAGGAGCAAGTGTATGGTGAAAGTGAGAGTCGCTCAGTTGTGTCCGACTCTGCGACCCTGTGGCCTGTAGAGTCCATGGAATTCTCCAGGCCAGAATACTGGAGTGGGTAGCCATTCCCTTCTCCAGGGGATCTTCCCTACCCAGGAATAGAACTGGGGTCTCCCGCATTGCAGGCGGGTTCTTTACTAGCTGAGTCACCAGGGAAGGCCAAATATACTGGAGTGGGTAGCCTATCTCTTCTCCGGTGGATTTTCCTGACCCAGGAATCGAACCTGGGTCTCCTGTATTGCAGGTGGATTCTTTAACAGCCAGGCCCAATAAGTGTACAAACTAGAGGCAAAGGAGAAAGTTGTCTTCACTGAACTAGCACTGTTTTTAAAGCACTTTAGATTCATATTTCTGTATCAAGCCAGCCTGACCTGGTGTCAGACTCTGAAAGCAGCCAAGACCTGACAGAACGGAAGGTGTGTGCCTCCCGCCTCCCTTGGGCGGGAGCAGGAGGGGCCCATGGAGCTGAGAGTTGCTGGTGGGCATCTGAGCGGGCCTTGGTCCCAGGGAGCTGCGGCTCTCAGTGTTCTGAAGAGCTGGCATGAGGGCCGGAGCCCTTTCTCCTGCACCGCTGGCAGAGAGCGGGGAGGACCGGGGTGTACAGTCTGGTCTCAGGCCGCCTCCCCCGCTTCTGTCTGGGGCCCTTGTGTCATTTCTTCTGGACCCAGATGGCCCCAGGGCAGGTGCACTCGTGGGCGTAGGCACAGATGCGTAGGCGCTCATGGGTTTCTTTGACTGCACTGATGTACTGGCGGTTGGGCGCTGACTGGCGGGCTGGGTCGGCCTGCCCTTGCTTTATTGTAAAAGGCTGGGGTGTCTGTATCCCTGCGCTTAACACAGAAGCTGTGGATCTGTCTCCCCGGCCCCGCCTGTGACGCCGCAGCCGCTGGCGCTGCTCGTAACCCTGGGCTCCTTGTTTTCTCCCATGACCATGTCATCCGGGCCCAAGCTGTGTGCGCGGGATAAACCGGGGGAACCCCAAGGGACAGTCAGCTCATGGCTCTCCTTGCCCTGACAGTGCTCGGCGTCTGCGGGCAAGCGAGCGGCAGCTGCTCGTGCCCGACTTTACAAGGACGGCCCCGTTGCTGCCCAGGAGGGTTGCAGCTGGTGGGGGCGGCAGGGCCATGACGTGGCGTCTCCTGTTTCATCCTGACTTTTCAGGGGCCTGTGTGCTGAGCACGCAGGCCACCTCTCTGCATTGTCTTGTTGAAACAACCTTGTCTTGGGCTTCAGCGGGGACTCAAAGCTCAGTGAAACGGCTTGGGGTCTGGATCGTTGGCACTCTGGGTGGTTCTTCATGTAACAACTCTGCTCCTACAGGTCCTTCACGGAGCAGCTCAGAAAGATCTCAAGAGATGCGGGCATGCCCATCCAGGGCCAGCCGTGCTTCTGTAAATACGCCCAGGGGGCAGACAGCGTGGAGCCCATGTTCCGGCACTTGAAAAACACGTATGCTGGCCTGCAGCTGGTGGTGGTCATCCTGCCGGGGAAGACCCCCGTTTACGGTAGGCCTTGGTGCCGCTCCAGCCCCGGCCCTACACCGCACCCAGGAGGGGCGTGTGACTGAGTGAGACCAGGTGGTGTCTGACTGTGGCCACACACATGCCCAGGGCTACCTGGGCAGCCTCCTCTGAGGGCCCTGTTCCCTGAGACGGGCGTCCCGAGGGGGCGTGGGACGCGGCAGCCATGCAAGTGCCTTGTCTGCTGCCGACACAGACTTGGGCTGGATGAGGACCTGCCTCGCACTGTGCATGCAGTAATCCCTTGGGGGGCGGGAGCAGTCCTCAGCTCCTGTCTGGGACTTGGCCCTCTTCTTGTGAGCCGTGTCATCTCATTATCCTCTGGGATTTGATCAGAGTCCTTTCTGCCAGAAAGCCAGTTGTCCTTCCACCCCGCTCAAAGTTACCAAGCCCTGGGATGGAGTCCCAGGCCCTGGTGGGGGAAGCTCCCGGGTGTAGACAAGCGACGGTGAGACGGGGAGGTGGGTGTGAGTGTGTCTGCTGGAAGCCCGGTGGGAACCTGAGGCCCCGTGCAGGAGCCGTGTGGGCACACGTGGCAGAGGGGAGAGAGCCGCTTTGGCTTGCTGACTGGCTTCCCCGTCTCCTATGGGCTCTGCACCCAGGAGCGGGAGGAAACGCAGGTGACTTTTCTCCCAGAGCTGCCCTCCCACTCGCTTCACAAGAGGGCCCAGAATGGAGGGGGTGCGGGCCTGCAGAGCGCTTTGGCGTCAGGTTTGCATTGGCCAGGGACTGAGCATTCAGGGGTTTATATTTTTAACTACTTAGGCATTTGCTTGCCATCCTGAATGCCTGGCTTCCAACCTGGCCCCGCGCATACTGCCCTGTCGGCCTGGAGAAGTTGCAGAAATGGCCCTGACTGAGAGCGGGCCTCCCTGGGCCAGTGGGGGATTCCCTGCAGCTGGCATGGAGCTGGGTCCCGGGCTTGGCTGCATGTGCGGTGGGCGCGTGGGGTGGACGGAGGAGCGCCGGGGAGCCGTGCTGAGCACCCCGTTCTCTTGACAGCCGAGGTCAAGCGTGTGGGAGATACCGTGCTGGGCATGGCCACGCAGTGTGTGCAGATGAAGAACGTGCAGAGGACCACGCCGCAGACTCTGTCTAACCTCTGTCTGAAGATCAACGTCAAACTGGGCGGCGTGAACAACATCCTGCTGCCACAGGGGAGGTGAGGCCGGCCCTTCACCGTGCATGGGGCAGCTGGGGCGGCTCTACTCAGCTATGCCAAGCGCTGTCCCGGGCTCGGCAGGTGCAGAAAGTGAGCAGGACGAGGGTCTGGGCTGCTCTGGGTCTCGGGGCCCAGGGCCGCTAAGGACCGGCGCCGGCCCAAGGAGAAGGGCCTTCTGACCCCAGCCAGAGGTGGGTCCCGCACGTGAGGTGTGGCAGCTGCGGAGCCAGTGCCCTGAGACAAGAGGGCTGCACCAGCGCCCCAGGTGCCCGACGGTGAGCTCTGGGATGGGCCTTCCAGAGCAGGAGGCGGCACTGTCAGCCGCAGGCCAGGGCCAGGCACTGGGGGCTGAGCAGCGGAAGGGTGAGGCCTCACGGGGAGCTGGCACTGGGGGCAGGGCTCTGTGGACACCGGGCAGCCTGCTCCAGAGGGTGCAGGCTGTGCAAGGGCCCTGGGGCAGCCTGCCTATCGGGAGCGAGGCGGTCGTTCTGCTGAGAGACTGAGGGGTGAGCCTGTAGGGGCCTGGCACTTGCTCCAGGGGAATGCAGCCATGGGGGGAGGTTCGCAAGTGCAGGTGTAGCCCCACTGACCTTGTTCTGAAAGGCAACCCCAGCTCTGGATAGATAGAGGGGCCAGGCCTGCCGGCATCGTCCCAGGAGAGCGGCTGGTGGGAGCTGGGCCTGGGGTGCCCAGAGCTATGGGTGTTTTGGCGATGGAGCTGTCAGGCTTGCTGAGAGGATGGGTTTGGTCTGTAAGTGGAAGAGGAGAGTCTAGATTGGTCCACCCTGGGCTGCGGGAGCAATGAGGGGGGCGGGGGGAGCGGACAGAACCTGTGCTGGACAGGCTTATTCAGGGCTCCTCACATGCGGGTTCTAGTTAGAGCCTCTAGGCTGGAGAGAACCCCAGGGTGCGGTGTAGATAGGAAGGCCGGCCACGCCTGGGCCCTGGGGAGTGACGGGTTGGAAGGTCGTGGAGGCAAGGCGACAGCTCTGGAGCCTGGGAGGTGGGTGGTGGGGAGCCCGTGCGTGGCCGCCATACGGCACCAACCCGCCAGGTGTGACGAGGTGTGAGGCTCGGCCACCGGGCTGGGGGACGTGTGCAGGTTGCAGGTGACTTTGCAGAGAGCAGTCCTGTTGCCATGGCCACATGAGGCCTGGTCGGGGAGGCAAGAGACGGGCTCAGCTAATCCCAGAGCTCTGCCACAAGGCGAGCCAGGGAGCCGGGGGTAGAGTGGTGTCCAGTGGCCAGTGTGGTTCTGCCAGTTCAAGGTGTGAGTCAGAACTGCATGTGCAGATGCGCCCGGGACCCATCACAGGAAAGGGGGTGGGCAAGAGGAGGAGCCACGGGGCCTGGGGGTGCTCGGCACAGGGCACCTGGGCAGCGCACGAGTCCAGGCATCGAGAAGGCCCCCAGCGAGGCTGGGGCCCACCAGCTGTTGGAGAACCGGGCCCCCAGCACCGCCTCTTTGGCGTGGCGACTGCCGGAGTGTGGCTAGCATTTAGAAGGCCCCGGGAGAACAGCCTAGCTCCATGCTTCCCCACTGGGACACATTCACCGCCCCGAGAACGTGTGGCTGCATCCAGAGACATTGGGTGCCGGGTAGAGAGCTGCAGCTGCCAGGCGCCCTGCAGTGTGGCCACAGGTCCGAGGTTGGCTGGCAGACCGTGGACGCTATGGGCGTGTTTATCTTGGAAACGTTCGGTCGTCTCCTCGGGGAGATCCCTCCTGTGCCTGGGCCCAGCCTCAGCGGCTGTCCGCACCTGACCACCCTTGTGCAGTGTACGCGCCACCTGCCCCGTCTCCCGCACTGGGTCTCTCTGAAGCAGATCTCACACTGAGCCTCTGTACCATAAGGTGTTCTCTGTCTGTGCCTGAAAGATAAGGAGTCTTTACAAGCAGAGCCCCAGAGTAGCGCCGGTGCCCGTGTCCTGAGAGGTCCGGGCGGTGTCCCCGAGCCACAGCCTCTGACGCTCGCTTCCCCCACAGGCCTCCGGTGTTCCAGCAGCCTGTCATCTTTCTGGGGGCGGATGTTACTCACCCCCCCGCTGGGGACGGGAAGAAGCCATCTATCGCCGCTGTGAGTATCGCTTCCCATGGTCCCTCTGTCCATGTGTGTTCCTCCCTGTCCGGCATCTCTGTGACTGTTGGATTAGCAATGAAAGTACAGCAGGTCGGCCCAGTGCGGTCCTGTGCCCAGCACACTCACTGGTTCCTGCTGGTTGGCACCTGCAGGCAACTGCTCTCAGGCCAGCGTTCCTGGGGGATGCTCTCACTGCCGGGTGTGGGAGTCTTGGGGTGCCGTGTGTGGCCGTGCACCTGGCTTGGGGAAAGCAACGTGCTTGGTGGTTATGCACACTTTCAGCCTCACCAGGGGTCACCTCTGAGCTGATGTAATTCAGCCCCATCCGATGAGAAGCAGAACAGGGCTTCTGAACAGTTGTTGAGTTTTTTATTAGGTCCCTTGGGCAAACTTACATGCTTGGGGACGCATTCATAGACACCAGGGCCGCACACACAGAAGATGCATAAAGGTGGGTTTGCCCGTGACGGGCCCTTGGGTGTCTGCTGACCCCGTGCCGCCCTGCAGGTCGTGGGCAGCATGGACGCCCACCCGAACCGCTACTGCGCCACCGTGCGCGTACAGCAGCACCGCCAGGAGATCATCCAGGATCTGGCGGCCATGGTGCGCGAGCTGCTCATCCAGTTCTACAAGTCCACGCGCTTCAAGCCCACCCGCATCATCTTCTACCGCGACGGCGTCTCCGAGGGGCAGTTCCAGCAGGTGGGCTGCCGCCGCGCTCCCTCCGCCCTGCTCTCTGTGTCTGCACTTCCCCGTCCCTCTGCAGGATGGTGTCTCGGGTTTCTGTTCTGCCCCCGGGTTTACCTGGTCACCCTGTGGTAGGGGTGGGGGGTGCGGGGTGGTCAGGACCCTGCGGCAGGACAGGAGGAGTGGTGGGGGCGGGGGCAGGGGTCAAGAGAGGCCAGTCCAGCAGGTTCGGTCCAGCACTCACCAACCAGGGCCTGTCCCATCTCCACGCTTACTTCCTAGGCTGTGGGGAGTCTCTGGGCTGGGGGACCTGTTCTGGGGGCCACCTCTTCAGGGGAGGGGAGAGCAGAGACAGGGGCCAGCATCCTTGTACCCCAAACCCTGGTGCTACTCAGAGGATGGTAGGCGTCACAGTAGGTTTCAAGGTGGGAACGCTTCTATTTTCAGTTCAGTTCAGTCTATGAGTCATATCTGACTCTTTGTGACCCCATGGACTGCAGCATACCAGGCTTCCCTATCCGTCACCAACTCCCTGAGCTTGCTCAAACTGATGTCCATCAAGTCAGTGATGCCATTCAACCATCTCACACTCTGTCGTCCCCTTCTCCTCCTGCCTTCAATCTTTCCCAGCATTAGGGTCTTTTCCGATGAGTCATTTCTTTGAATCAGGTGGCCAAAATATTGGAGCTTCAGCTTCAGCATCAGTCCTTCCAACGGATAGTCAGGACTGATTTTCTTTAGGATTGACTGGGTGGATCTCCTTGCAGTCCAAAGGACTCTCAAGAGTCTTCTCCAACACCATAGTTCAAAAGCATCAATTCTTTGGCATTCAGCTTTCTTTATGGTCCAACTCTCACATCCATACATGACTACTGGAAAAACCATAGCTTTGACTAGACAGATCTTTGTCAGTAAAGTAATAGCTCTGCTTTTTAATATGCTGCTTAGGTTGGGCATAGCTTTTCTTCTATGGAGCAAGCATCTTTTAATTTCATGGCTGCAGTCACCATCTGCAGTGATTTTGGAGCCCAAGAAAATAAAGTCTGTCACTGTTTCCGTTGTTTCCCCTTCTATCTGCCATGAAGTGATGGGACTGGATGCCATAATACTTGCTTTTTGAATGTTGAGCTTTAAGACAACTTTTTCACACTCCTTTCACTTTCATCGAGAGGTCTTCAGTTCTTCTTTGGTTTCTGCCATAAGGGTGGTGTCATCTGTGTATCTGAGGTTATTGGTGTTTCTCCCAGCAATCTTGATTCCATCTTGTGCTTCATCCAGCCCAGCATTTCGCATTATGTACTCTGCATATAAGTTAAATAATCTGGGTGACAATATACAGCCTTGCCATATTCCACTCCTTATTTGGAACCAGTCCATTGTTCCATGTCTGGTTCTAACTGTTGCTTCTTGACCTGTATACAGATTTCTCAAGAGGCAGGTCAGGTGGTCTGGTATTCACATCTCTCTAAGAATTTTCCACAGTCTGTTGTGATCCACACAATCAAAGGCTTTGGCATAGTCAATAAAGCAAAAATAGATGTTTTTCTGGAACTCTTTTTTTGCTTTTTCAATGATCCAACGGATGTTGGCAATTTGATCTCTGGTTCCTCTGCCTTTTCTAAATCCAGCTTGAACATCTGGAAGTTCTCAGTTCACATACTGTTGAAGCCTGGCTTGGAGAATTTTGAGCATTACTTTACTAGCGTATGGGATGAGTGCAATTGTGCAGTAGTTTGAGCATTCTTTGGCATTGCCTTTCTTTGGGATTGGAATGAAAACGGACCTTTTCCAGTCCTGTGGCCACTGCTGAGTTTTCCAAATTTGCTGGCATGTTGAGTGCAGCACTTTCACAGCATCATCTTTTAGGATTTGAAATAGCTCAGATGGAATTCCATCACCATCACCTACCTCCGTTAGCTTTGTTCGTAGTGATGCTTCTAAGGCCCTCTTGACTTCACTCTCGAGGATGTCTGGCTCTAGGTCAGTGATCACACCATTGTGGTTATCTGGGTCATGAAGATGTTTTTTGTACAGTTCTTCTGTGTATTCTTGCCACCTCTTCTTAGTATCTTCTGCTTCTGTTAGGTCCATACCGTTTCTGTCCTTTATTGAGCCCATCGTTGTATGAAATGTTCCCTTGGTATCTCTAATTTTCTTGAAGAGATCTCTAGTCTTTCCCATTCTGTTGTTTTCCTCTATTGATCACTGAGGAAGGCTTTCTTATCCTTCTTGCTATTCTTTGGAACTCTGCCTTCAGATGGGAATATCTTTCCTTTTCTCCTTTGTGTTTAGCTTTTCTTCTATTCTCAGCTATTTTTAAGGCCTCCTCAGACAACCATTTTGCCTTTTTGCATTTCTTTTTCTTGGGGATGGTCTTGGTCACTGCCTTCTATACAGTGTCACGAACTTCCATCCATGGTTCTTCAGGCACTCTGTCTATCAGAGTGCCTAATCCCTTGAATCTATTTGTCACTTCCACTGTATAATCATAAGGGATCTGATTTAGGTCATACCTGAATGGTCTGGTGGTTTTCCCTACTTTCTTCAATTTAAGTCTGAATTTGGCAATAAGGAGTTCATGATCTGAGCCACAGTCAGCTCCCAGTCTTGTTTTTGCTGACTGTATAGAGCTTCTCCATTTTTGGCTGCAAAGAATATAATCAATCTGATTTAAATATTGACCATCTGGTGATGTCCATGCATAGAGCTGTCTCTTGTGTTGTTGGAAGAGGGTGTTTGCTATGACCAGTGCATTCTCTTGGCAAAACTGTTAGCCTTTGCCCTGCTTCATTTTGTACTGCAAGGCAAAACTTGCCTATTACTCTAGGTATATCTTGACTTCCTACTTTTGCATTGCAGTCCCCTGTGATGAAAAGGACATCTTTTTTTGGTGTTAGTTCCCCAAGTTCTTGTAGGTCATCACATAACCATTCAGCTTCAGCTTCTTCAACATTCATGATTGGGGCATAGACTTGGGTTATTGTGATGTTGAATGGTTTGCCTTGGAAACGAACAGAAATCATTGTGTCATTTTTGAGAGTCCATCTAAGTACTGCATTTCAGACTCTCTTGTTGACTATGATGGCTACTCCATTTCTTATAAGGGGTTCTTGCACACAGTAGTAGATATAACGGTCATCTGAATTAAATTCACCCATTCCAGTCTGTTTTAGTTTGCTGATTCCTAGAATGTTAAAGTTCATGCTTGCCATCTCCTGTTTTATCACTTCCGATTTGCCTTGATTCATGGACCTAACATTCCAGGTCCCTATGCAATATTGCTCTTTACAGCATAGAACTTTTACTTCCATCAGCAACACATCCACAACTGAGTGTTGTTTTGCTTTGGCTCCATCCCTTCATTCTTTCTGGAGTTTTTTCTCCACTGATCTCCAGTAGCATATTGAACACCTACCAACCTGGGGAGGTAGTCTTTCAGTGTCCTATCTTTTTACCTTTTCATACTGTTCATGGGGTTCTCAAGGCAAGAAGACTGAAGTGGTTTGCCATTCCCTTCTCCAGTGGACCACATTCTGTCAGACCTCTCCACCATGACCCGACCGTCTTGAGTGGCCCTATACAGCATGGCTCATAGTTTCATTGAGTTAGACAAGGCTATGGTCCATGTGATCAGTTCAGTTAGTTTTTCATGATTGTGGTTTTCATTCTGTCTGCCCTCTGATGAAGAAGGATAAGAGGCTTATGGAAGCTCCCTGATGGGAGAGACTGACTGTGGGAAAAACTCCATTTAAACCTGAGGAAACTGGGGATCACACAGGTTTTGTGTCTTTGATAGCCACAGGCTTGCTTGGTGGTGGAGCTGGGATTTGGACTTGGCTTAGCACCTAAACTAGTAGAGTTTGTTTGCTTGTGTGTTTTTAAGTATATTCTCTCCAATCCAGAAATAAGTTGTTGGATTGATTTGTGTGTGTGTGTGTGTTTCCCACCATGCCTTCATGTCCACTGTGGATGGTAGCACTTAGAACATTCCAGACACTGTGCTCTGCCTGTTTATGCATTATCTAACCTAAGCCATTTAACCATGAAACCTGGGAGCCATTTGCTCCATGATAGAAATGAAGAAACAGGCTCAAAGAGACAGAATCACAACAGCTAACAGCAAGCTAGTGGAGCTATAAGACTTAAATATGTATCAAACGTACATGTGATAAAGGGAGTCATTTTAAGGTAACGAGAGGCCCCAAAACGTAACAGTCCTCAAGCATGTCCTGCTTCCTTTCCACAGGTTCTCCACCACGAGTTGCTGGCCATCCGTGAGGCATGCATTAAGCTAGAGAAGGACTACCAGCCAGGCATCACATTCATCGTGGTCCAGAAGAGACACCACACACGGCTCTTCTGCACAGACAAGAACGAGAGGGTGAGCATCCCTGGGCCCCCCCAGCCCCACCCAACCCGCCCCACCTGCCCACCCCGCCGCACCCGGGGCGGGGCGGGGCGGGGCGGCACGGGCGGCCCAGGTGTAGGCGCTGGGGAAGGGCTCTCCTCAGCTTGCAGAGCAGCTGCAACCTGTAAACCCCACAGGCCTGCAGTGCCTCTGGGGGGGTGTCTTTTATCCCACAAGGAAATGACCAAAGGTGAGGCTTCAGAGCTGGTGAGCAGCTGTGGTCCTAGACAGCGTGGTGTAAAGGATGAGGTAGAATGTGGGGAAGTGGAGCCCTCAGGGCAGCTGGGGTGCTCCTGCAAGGGGGCCTGGGAGCTCTCCAGGGGTCCAGTCTGGAGGAGCATCCAGGCTCCCTTATGCCACCTGGCTACTCCAGAGTAAGAATTGTGTGTGAGCGGGAGGCTTGAGACTTAAAGCTGTGACTGCTGAGAGTTGTCCACAACTGGGGAGAGAGAGGATTCCTTAGATTAAAAGACTGTTGCTTGTTGCTGTTCCTAACAGGATAATAAAGTAATCCACACCTAGACACATTGTCCTAAAACTGCATGGTGTCAAAGTAGCTGCATAAGAGAAAAGACCTAGAAGGGAAGGACATTAGGTCAGACTGCTCACCAGCAGGGCTGGACATTTGGGGTTAGTGTCCATGCAGAGCAGTCCCCTGAGGCCACCTGGCACCGCAGCACCAAACATGCTTCTGGCCTCAATGGAAGACATAATGCAAATTGAAAGTTAATAGTGAGGAAAAGGGATGGTCCGCCAAAAAGACACGACTGCTCAAAGCATAGATATACCTCACGCCATGGCCTAAAAATATGTAAAGGAAAAAAGATGAAGCTTAACGGGCAGAATTTCAGGGAGAAATTGACAAACACACCACCAGAGGGGTCTGTTTTAACAGACTGCGGTCAGAAAGTGAAACAGGTACAAATCAGTCAAGACTGAACATGGGAAGAGTGGAGGAAGCAAGCTGGGCAGACTGAACCCTGCCTGTGATGGCCGAGCTCACGCCTGGGGTTAAAACATGAGTTGGCCCCATCCCAGGTCACAGAGGAGGTCTGACAAGATTGCCGGTCTTCACCCTTCTACAAACCACATTCTCCGTTACACAGTTCTAAATCCGTAGTAGAAAAAAGCATAAGAAAACTTAAAATTTTCAGTTTGATTGTAAGGAGCACCTGCACTAAAAAGGTAAAGAGAATAATCAATTGTGAAATGACCAGAAATGAACAAAAAGGAGAATTCCATATCAAACCCTGTGCAGTGCAGCTACCGCAGCATTCATGGATGAGAGCACAGAGCTGCTTTGTTGTGAAACTAGAGAGAGAGCTGTCAGTAAGTCTGAAGCCGCAGGAAGGATATCAGCCCCAGGGGTCGAGGGACAGCTGAGGAGCTGGTGTGTGCAGCTCCCCTGCCACCTCAGCCTGCAGACCTCTCTTGCCAGGAGTTGGGGGATCAAAGTCAGCTTTTTCCTGCACCCCACTTTCTCTCTTGAAATAGAAAATCGTGAACTAGAAAATGAATCGCCCATAGCACAGATTAACACAAGTGAGGCATACTTCTCTGAAGATTATATAAACCTATCAGGACTGAACAACAGAGAATACTCATGATGATGTTGGGAGCAGAAGGCGATAATGGCTGGCTGCAGAGGGGGTGTTATTTGAATCATGCTGGATAACCGCTTCATAATAGCACGTTGGAAAACAGAAGAAACAGATGCAAATACTTAGTTGTAGAGCGACTTCAGTTATCAGAATCAGCTGAGGGAGGACAGTCCCAGTCATGGTCCCAAAGGCATCAGGCCCAGAGAGTTTTACGGGCAAGCTGTACCAAGGCGTCACGAGTAGACCATCTTAACGTGTGGTGCAGACTAGGAAAAAGAGAGAAACTACTTTGCTTATTTGATGAAATTGGTCCAGAGGTTTTTATAGGCAAATTTTAATAAACCTTCAGAGAATAATCTTGTACAAAGAATTTCAGAGGACAGAGAAAGTCTGGGGGACTCCCATTACGAGGTTAGCCTGATAAAATCACCAAGCGTCGCACAGGATGTGGGTGCTGTGGTGAGTAACGCAGGGTCTGGAGTCAGAAGCCCTGGCCGCGGTCCATCCCTGCAGCTTCCGGCTGCTTGACCATGAGCTGTCGGCAGCGCTGCCCTGGGCTGCCCTGCGAGAGCGCTGGGAGGGCGGCTGAGCGGACACCCAGCACTCAGCGCAAGGCCAGAGGGTTCTCCTGCCCTTTGGACAGGAGTGGAGATGGACAGCCAACTTGGAGCACGGTTTGGCAGTTCTAGACATCTACCCTGGAGAAACCCACATGCCTGTATTCAGGGGGACACGTATAAGAATATTCTGGCAGTGTTATAATAGTAAAAAAATCTGCCTGCTAACAGGAGAAGAGTTTGTGGTGTGTTTATATACTGGCGTTTACATAGCAGTGAAAAGTGATTTTTTTAATGTACAAAGTAACACAGTGTAATGCTAATAGAGGCTTAAATATGTAACAAAAAATGAGAGTTTGTGTGGGAGTAATGAAGTCTAGATTTGAGACTGCAACATGGAAGGGGGTGCAAAGGTAAGCACTCTTCTCAGATATTTCGTTTCTTTTTCACGTGTCTCTGAAGCATCATGCACACATTCAGCAAGCACTTGCAGAAGGTACATAGGGGTTATATGGGAGATTTTCTCTTTTGTATGTGTATTTGAAGTTGCACAGCTTAACAAAAAAAAATTGAGTGACTTTGTGATTAATTGGGACTTTGCCGTCCCAGGAGCTGTGGTGTTGGGTGGATTTTCAATGCTCAAGTTGAGGTTAAGTGGTTTGGTAGGATTTGTAGTCCCACTCACACCAGCTCCTGGGCTGGTCTCTGGTGGAGCGGCTTGCCCGCCCCAGTGGACTGGAGAAGCCCTGGGCATCCGTTTTCCAGCTCTTCTGCCTTGGGCATTGGGCTGGGGGGGCGGGGGGGTGGCGGGCAGATGTCCGTTGTCTGGTCTTAGGTTTGTGTGTTGGTGACAGTTTCCATCTTGGCCTCAACTGTAAAAAAAAAAGACCCTTCAAGTGGTCCATACAGATGCTCAGTGAGGGTCCTCAGGGGCCTTTATGAGATGGCAAAAAATAACTCCAGCCCAAACAGGACAGGAACTAGTTTAATTTCAGTTGTTAGTACATGTTTAATTTTAATGCTGTAGCCCTGAGCAAATGCATAGGCCAACTTAAGGTCTCAAGAATAGACGACGGTGTGGCTGAGTCTTGCTTGCTTGCGTCACTTTGCCGTCCCTGGCCTGTCTAATGGGCTCTTGTGTTGCTCAAGGTTGGGAAGAGCGGAAACATTCCAGCAGGCACAACCGTGGACACGAAAATCACCCACCCGACCGAGTTTGACTTCTACCTGTGTAGTCATGCTGGCATCCAGGTGAGGATAGAGGGTGGACAGTCTTGGTGACTCTGAGACGTCATGCATGCATTTAGCAAGCGCTTGCAGAGTGCAGACCGCAGGCCTGGCACTCGGGTGGTGGTGGTCAGCAGTGATCCTGGGGCTCCGGGCAGTCCCGAGGGGAGGTCGGCGGGTGACCCCTGGACAGTATGGGCTCAACACCGTTCGCTGCTGTCGGGGGTGCAGGGGAGACTCATCTCCAGAGGCAAGGGCAAAGGCCCGGCAGGCTGGCAGAGACCAGGGGCATCCCTGAGGGGCGGGGTCGGCCTCGCATGGCCACTGCGTGGGTGAGCGGGCAGGGTCACACGGGCATGCCTTGTCCCTCCTGGTGAAGAGACCCGCAGGCTGCCAAGCATCCTGGGGGAGCAGTGCCCCATGCAGCCATGCCCACTGTCGGCGCTACGCTGCCCCGATGCAAAGCTGTGCCCTGCAGGAGGGGGGCTCCTGGAGGATGGGCTGAAGCCCCCTCCTGAGGGATCTGATCTAAACTGGGAGGATCACTGTGGACTCTGTACTTTGGACGTTCGGCGGGAACCACACACCACCGAGGCCCTGGAACAGGGCGTGGCCGACTGGCCATGGGTGCATCCAGCCTGCAGCCTGTGGGCACTGCCAAGGGCTGAGTGGGTTGTACATCTTTAAAGCGTTGTTGAAAAGGAGGAAGAGGAGCGTGGCTTAGAGAATGCGGAGGCTCCCATGGTGTTTCCTGTGGCGGCTTCTGTGTCCGGCAGGCGCCTCTCCCATACCTGCCACCCAGAGTCCATCACTGTCTCTTTCCTGGCTTCCTGCCTTCGGGTGGTGCTCTGGCCCTCCAAGGCCTCGGATTCGGTTGCCGGACCAGCCTTTCCCCTTGCTTTCCTACACAGGCCCTCTCTACTGAGGGAATCTCGCTTTTGAGACGAGTGCTGTGACAGGATGAGCCTCTGGGGCCTGGCCCCGCTGTGTCCTCAGCAGACCTTCTGATGCTAATGCCCTGCTGCCTGTGGGCCCTGTGAGCACCCAGGGTTAAATCCCCAAAGTGGGTGCAGGCCGTGGCTCCTCAGAGGACAAGCGGGCCTGCTGCTCACCAGTTCTAGGAGCCTGAGCACAGACAGACAGTGGAAGCAGCAGCGCCCAAGCGGGGGCGTCAGGAAGGGCCAGCCAGCTGGCTTGGGTCACACGGCAGCCGGAGAAAGCCCTTCCCCCGGCTGACCGGGCACGGGTGCCCTGCCAGGCAGGACATCAGCCCTCGGGCACCCCCACTTTGGGGGGAAGTGAGGGGGGCAAGTGACCAGCCCACTTCCTTCAGTTTCAGAAGTTTCCAGACTACACACACTGCACAAAATAAATACATGTTCAAACTCTGATTTAAAAGGCATTAACATGTAACTTATTAGAGATTTCTTCTTGTCTTTATAAATAAAACATCATAGAGAACCTAACGTATACAAATACTGTCCTCAAAACAGTTACTTCTGTACTGTTGTCTTTCCTATGATTTCCTGTGTACGAGTGAATGTGTGTGTGGCCTGCATTTGACCGGTAGGCGGTCATTTGATGGTACGTTGTAAGACGAAGGTTGTCTCGTCACTGAGCGCCCTCCGTGAGGCTTCACAGCACAGCTGGTGCAGGGGGGTCTGGACCCTCTCTCGTGGGGGTCTGCCTCTCTCACCCTCTGACCTGCTTTCAGGGAACAAGCAGGCCCTCCCACTACCACGTGCTGTGGGATGACAATCGCTTCTCCTCCGACGAGCTGCAGATCCTCACCTACCAGCTGTGTCACACCTACGTGCGCTGCACGCGTTCCGTGTCCATCCCGGCCCCAGCGTACTATGCTCACCTGGTGGCCTTCCGGGCCAGGTACCACCTGGTGGACAAAGAACATGACAGGTGAGTGGCGTGCCTCTCCTGGCCGGGGTCGTTTCTGCAACAGGCTTTGGCAGCTGCTTTTCCAGAAAGGGACTTGGTGGGGTCCCCAGTGGCTGGAGCCGATTGTGACGCAGACACCCTAAAGCCAGCATCTTTGCCGCCACGCGCTAGCTGTGTGGCCGCCTTGCTAGAGGGCTGGTGTGTGGTCCTCACTTAGCTGCCAGTGTGCTGCCTCGTGATGCACTAAAGGCTGCGTGCTTTCTCTGTGCCCCATCCCCGCAGTGCTGAAGGAAGCCACACCTCCGGGCAGAGTAACGGACGCGACCATCAGGCGTTGGCAAAGGCCGTGCAGGTCCACCAGGACACGCTGCGCACCATGTACTTTGCTTGACATGTTCCAGTGTTTACGATTGTGTACCGAGTGGGATTCACATGAGACCAGCTACACTCAGACCAACCAATGCCCAGCCCTTCCGTGACAGCCAGCATCGAACATGACACGTCATCCATTTTAGTAGATTCTCCGTTTTCCAGAATGCCTTCCGTCCCAGACTTCAAACTTGGATTTTGAACTGCAGACCTGTATGAGACCCCCATTGTCGTAGGAAATATGGTTTGCCAAAATCTTATAAGCTGCTTATTGAAATAGAGTCCCGTGTTTCCTAAAAATCTCCTAAAACCAGTTTATGAACTCAGGGCTTTAAAACATTTTTAATTTATTTGGTCATTCAATTTACTTGTTTTTAACACATGATTCTCTATGAAATTGATGGGCTCAAACTAGCTGTGAACGTTCTATGAGAGTGAAAGCAACACAAAACACGCTTTGGTTTTAAAGCCTTGAACATTCTGACGTTGTCACTAAAGTTTGTTTCAGAGTGACGCTGACGCACTCCTAACCTGGCTCCCACCAGCTGTCCGGAACCCGAGGGCAGGGGCCAGGCGAGACGCCCGGCGTCTCTCATTCTGCCACCGGCCGCCTTCCACACAGCTCGAAGGAGGATGTGGTGGCAGAAGATGGGCCGTGTGTGTTTATAACATTTACAGGTCCAGAGAGATTGGCAGACAAGTGCCATTTTAATAAATAATTATTTAAAAAAAGAAAAAAGACAATATGCTGACAGTCTAATCATAAGATTTGTCCTATAGGACTGTGACATTTATTTTCCAAAGTTTCTAAAGAATACGGGTCTGTGGTGATAAATACAGTACAATCCTTTTTCACTGTTATGTCTTTAATGTAAGAGAAAAAATATATATATCTGGTTTGCAGTATTAATGTGGTAGATAGATGCTGTTTTTCATTTTATTGACTACGGGGTGCTTCTTGTGATCTGTTCAGCATATCAAGAGTGTTCTGAAGCCTGGACCACCCCTTGTGGTTCTCAGTGCTGAAGTGCAGGAGTATGCAGTTGACTCCGTGTGCCCGTGGCCCGCCCCCACGTGTTGAGTGCACAGCCTGGGCCCTCCGGGGGCCCGGGTGTGCTCCTGGCAGTCACGCCCCCTTCCCCGCCCCCTCACCCTTGTGTGTCGCGCAGCCGATTAAGCACAAATGGAATGTATGTGTCCTTCCACTCCTGGGAGTGAGTCCGTGTAGCAGCGTGCACATCTATCTGCGTGTGTTTTGTTAGCCGAGCGTCATAGGATCTATGCACTGAAACCAGAGAAGGCTGTCGGTGGTGGCCCTCTGCCAGACGTGAGGCCAGTGGTCTGCAAAGGAGCGCTGCCCTCGGCGGGTGGCCGATGGCAGAGTGGCGGGAGAGGCAGGCCCTTCTGCTGGGATTTGCATCCTGGCCCCAGACGTGGGTTCGCCAATCAAGAAACCGTTGCACTAAGCGTAGTACTGTGGACAGCTCGACAAGCTCCATTGTGCTAAGGGGGCTTTCTGCCCTCGTAGGCTATTGGTACAGAAATCAAGTCCACGTTCAGTGCAGAGTCCAGGGAGGAGGCACGCCTTCCCTAGTGCTGATTCATGTCTGTAGGTTCCCTCGGGCCCTGCCTATGGCCCTGCCCATCCAGGCCTAACACTGGCCTCTGGCGCTGGGGTGTCTCCTGCTGGGGTGAGTGCCTGCCTCCGTCTTGTGCGGGAGGGCTCTGAGGGGCCAAGAGGGGCGGGGACACACTGTGGGGGACGCTTGGCCTGGATTTTGGGGGCAGCGACAAAGGGATGACTATTATTTGTGTCAATATATACTCAGAGTGGTGTATGTGTGCACGCACAATGTGGGTGTCTTATTAATGGCATTAGTCTCTTCTTGCTGTACCTTTTTTTTTTTTTTTCTTTTTAAATGACAGAAGCCTCTGCTCAAAGAAATGTTGCAATTCCCTGTCATTTTATTATCAAGTGGCACTTTCTCCTATTCTGAGGGACACCAGTACAGTCCACTCTTGGCTTAAATTACTGGGAGCATTCAAGCGAAGGAGGGAATCTTCTCACTAAAACACTTTTAAAGTCTTCAATGAGGTTAGTTTTCAGCCATGTTCAGTATCATGTAGAACTGTGTCTCCAAGGTATGTTTTTACCACTTGCAACAGGATCTCGGGGGGTCAGGGCGGTAGTGGTAAAAAAAATTCAGTCTCCCACGCTTGCTGCCGAGTCAGAGTCTCCAGGGCGGGGGCTGGGCACTGAGTTTGTCACCATTAGCTGGGGGCTTGGGCTGCCTGGAGTCTGAGAACCTCTGATCTAGAACCTTCTGGAGAGGATGCCCCCCCCAGGCACTCCTTCGGGCAATGCAGGAAGACATCTTCTGAGCTAATGCGCTGGGGAAGACTACAGGCTGGCAGAAAATGAGACCTAAATTCTTTAAAAAAATCATTTTGAAGAAAAGTTTTCTTTCTAGAGGGCCAAAGTACTTTGAGACGGGTACTTTTTACAGCCCTAGGCTTGTTTTATAAAACTTTTACTACTTAAGAGCATTTATAAACCAGACGTCTCCAGCTGAGGTAGCTACATACCTTTGTGCGTGTCTGATGGTTGAGAATTCAAATGGCTGTAGTTACAATTTCTCAGGTAAAGAACTGTTTTCCCAAATTCCTACCAATCCCCCCACTATTAGGATAAGTTTTGAGACAGCATGAAACCTCAGAGTACAGTAGAGTGAGTCCAAGCCCTGCTCGCGTGGAAGCCGAGAAGGGCCCCTGCCTGTCTGAGCAGGTCATGCCCACCCACCCCCCCAAGAGTGACCTCGAGGTTAGCTAGAGAGGGGCTCTGGGCACCTCCGGACTCTGTGTTTGAAGGGTTTCCTGAGGTCTGTGCAGGCTTTGCCCCACCCCACTGTTAAGGAAGGCGTGCCTTGCTTTAAGCAAACTGAATGTGAAAATTGTGATGTAGAGATCTGGATTCATTTCAAAGGAAAACTGGGATTTATCTCATCTCTTTAGAAGAGGTGTCTCAATTGGATTCTTATCCTGGTACTCTTCCTAACATATTTGGTAACATTCACCCAGAGAAAAGTTAACGTAGGCCCCTGTCTTCACCACTTCCTAGTCTGTTGGACGGGCTCTCGCCCTGATTGCTGAGTGATGAAAGAAACCCAGGGAGCGGTGTCGGTTGCCGTGAGGAGAGCCCCCTGGCCCTGCTGAGATGCCATCCTGCTGTTGGTGTACTTACTTTGATAAGCTCAGATGTCCCCGGTTCAGACACATTTTATAAAACTGGGCATACCTGCACCTTTAGAAATGGAGTGTTTGGGTTTTGGTTTTCTGCTTCAGAAAGTCTTCGCAGACACACTTGATGCTACGTTTTCGGGTCTGCCTCTTTTCGAGATGGTGTTGCTTTTTGGCAGCGTTCTCACACTCCATGCTCGGGTGTTTGCGCCCTGGAACCACGAGAGACCTCCGGCCGCTCTGCGGGCTTCCCCGGGAGGGCTGGTCGGAGGTGGAGTGACCTCTGGATGCCGTGTGAAGTGCTGTGACTGAGGTTTACCCCGGCGTGCGCTCCTTAAAAGACACAGTTCAAGTTCAGTTACTACAGCAGGGTTGTGGGGGGTGGGTGTCGATGTATATTGTACGCTACTGTTATTGTTGTTAAATGCAAATGTTGCTATTTATTTTTTTTTTCCCTTTCTGCTCTGGTTTGATTTGCCTGACAATGGATTTTACCGTGCATGTGGTACCTGGTGAATATGATAGAAATTATTTCCCCCAACTTTTATAAATTACCTGATGTTTACCTTCGAGTTTGCTGGATGATTTATTTTTGAAAGCCACAAATGTAATTTTTCTGGATGAATTGTTTTTCTTATATATGCAGCGGTGTAATTTTGCATTGATCTGCAGGGTGATTTAAATTTTATTTTTACAAGGCAGTTTTTCAGGCAGATTATATATTTGATACAATACGTTAAGGGTAGGCCAGCCAAGCGTCCTGCAGCGGGGACCAGACTGCCTTGAGGAGGCTCTGGAGGCTGGGGCGGCTTCTCTCGGCTGCTCGGTGCCAGGCAAGCGCGCTCGGCTCATTTCATGCAGCCGTCCCTCGGGATCTGACGGAATCCTTGAGTGGGACTTTGATCTGTTGGACAGTTCAAAGGATTTTTTCATGGGCATTTTCCTACACCTAAGGCAGTTCCATTAGGAGGAGCTTTAGAAGCTGACATAATCGAGACAGTGGACAATCCCAGTGGCCCGGACAAGCCATAGAATTTCCCTGTGACCTCTCTCTAACTCATCTCTCACGCTCATGAGAAAAGGAATGTACAAATAAATAGAAACTTCCTCAGTGTTCATACACCTCACTTTCAGAATGCAGATACCTTATTTATATTTAAAGCCCTCCCCCAAAGCAACCAAGAATATTTTCTCTAGCTGCCGTGCCAGCATTTGCGGCTGCAGTGATGTTTCTCAGTGTAGACACAGTGCACGTGTGACTGTGTAATAGGGCTGTCCGTGTTACACACACATGCTGACTTTTTGTAAGGAAAATTTTCAACTCAAAATAATTGCACTGATTTTTTGACAGCTTCCTTTTTATTATGTCCAACTTTGCATCTGCTGTACTTATTTGAAATGATTGTAAATAGATTTAGGATAGCAGAAATGGTGTGAAACAACATGTTGCTTTGTTTTGGTGACTCTGCCATGGTTTTCAGTATTATGTGTTAGAGCTGTGTGGGCTGCCCGCTGCCCTTCCCCCTCTGCAGCCGTGTCTGTGCGTGTGTGTGCGTGTGTGTGTCTGTGTCTGTGTGCACGCGCGTGTGTTGACCATTCATGAAGGACAAATTAGCCTCTTCGTCGTCTTTTTCTGGAAGGAAGTTTGTGGTCTATCGGAAGGAGAGTGTGCTCCCTCCTTGCAGTCTGAAGATTTAATTCTAAGAGGATTAGTTCTAAACCCCTTGAATACTTCTGGTCTGTTTAATTCCTTGTTATTTGCCATGACTCCCTAAAGCATGTGCTGCTACCTCCGTCCAGCATTTGACAGCTCAGAGAGTAAGTGTCTGAACGGCCCATGTTACTAGTGAGCCAGGGTCCCCTTGCTTCTCTTTGGTCAGCCATCATTTGAAAGCCGTGAGGTTCCTGTTGTGTCAGAACTGTCCTTTGTGGCTTAATCCACAGATGCCAGGCAGACCTGAGCCCCAGTGCTGTCCGTTCCTCTGGGCCTCGCGCATTGGCCAGACGAGAAGTGGGGGCTCCAGCCAAGCGTGTGATTCCACTTGTGGGCAGGCTCCCCAGTCGCAGACACACAAAGGAGCTTCTACACCCACGCCAGCCAGTCACCTGAGTGTGTGTTCCCGTCACGTTGACGCCATCTCGGCGCCTTCACTTAACGCTTTTTTTTTTTGATGTTTTGCCATTTTGTTGTCTAACGTGAATGTATTGGCTTAGCCATATCACTACAGAAGGTGGTTTCTCATAAGTACCTTTTAGTTTAAAAATAAATAAACGCAGATAAAGGCTACCTCTGAATTCTCAATAGATTCATGTTTGCTTTTAAGCGTAGCTGTCCACACTGAAAATAGCCAAAATGTTGCCTGAATAAACAGAATCGTGAACATCTCTCTGTTCAGTTCTGGCTTGAACATTGCGTGCCATACTGTGACCCACGGGCAGTCCCCTCCCCCCACCCGGCTGTCCGGGTGGACCAGGGGCTCCTCAGGGCTGCCCAGCTCCGACGTGCTGGGACCCTCAGTGGCCAGCAGGAAGGATGCGCGAGGGCCCTTCTGCGCCGCCCTCGGGAGCAGGGCCTCAGGCAGCAGGACCCGGAAGGGACCTGCTGTCCTGGCATTTCCCTGTCCTGTTTGATATAAGGAAGCACTTTTTCTTTCCTGCTTTACTTATGAATGGGTTGAAAGTGGCTCCTTCTCTCTCCTCCCTTTTTGTACACTCTGTAAAATCACAAAGGTGCTTAAACACCAACTGTCGTGCAAATAGTTCTTCTGCAGTAGCTGCATGGTTTCAAAATGCAGTGCAGGTGTCATTGACCTCTGACTTGGGAACCCTTGAGTGCTGTCACTCCATACTTTAAAACGAGCCAAGGTTCAAAAGCAAAATATTCTGTTCAAATCGAAGGCCCTTTGTCTGAGAGGAGCACAGGGGCCAGGGCGGCAGCATCCTGAACGGGCGGCCGTTCCCGCTGCTGGCGCCCTGGACTGGACGCCCTCTGCGGGGCAGCTGGCCTGGGAGAGCTTGGCATCCTGTGTGATTTACCACTTTGCCGCCAGAAATGTGCTGTGCCCACACACTGCTGTGGGACTATCAGGCTCACCCTCTGCCCTTCGCATCTTTTCTTTAGGTTCCTCGTGTTCTCATCTTCAGAAGGTGAGCATTTGCTTTGAAGTCTGGAGGGACAGGCATCTGGGTGGGAGGTGGCGGCTCCGAGCTCCTCTGGACACACCTCAACCTTGACTTTGGCCCAGAGAGATTCCAGGGGCACCATTAGGAGGAAGCCCTTGCCTCTAGCGCCACATGCTGCGCTATAACTCCCAGAGCGCCAAGTGCCCTTTGCAGTCTTAAGAATGTGCAGTTCTGCAGTCACGCTGTCCTATAGACACAGACCACCCCAAGGGGTGTGGACGTGGGGGGTGCCTGCGGGGGTGCCCGCCACACCCCCCAACCTGCTTCAGCCCAGAGCTGCTGGGCTCGTCTTCAGTGACTCAGTTTGCAGCTGGAATTGCAGGCAGGGTATTCTGGCGGCCCCCTGGGGCCCCAACGTGGGCCTCCTCCCTCTTCGCCACCTTTGCACTCATGAAAGGTCACTAAAGATGAGGGAGCTGAAGAAGACTATTGGTGCTTTTGCTAACATGTTTCTGTCTTACTGGTTGATGTGAGAAATGCAGTGTGTTAGACCTTAGATGGCCCTGATGGTGTGACTGAGGGCTGAGTCCTCACCCTCAGACAGTCAGAGGAGGCTAGTTACAACTTGCTTGGATGTGAGTAGTTCAGAGTTAAAGCTAAAACACCAAATACTGACTACCCCAACCCCATGTGTCTCTGGGAATCTTGTGTTCAGGCCAACCTCATTCAGTACTTCTGGAATCTTCAAGGTCCTCAGACCTGGAAGTCAGTCCCAGGATTGACTTGACAAAACTGGGCGCTCATGTGGGGAGCGCTGGGCTCTTCTGGGCTCTGGAGATGCTGGCAACAACCCTAGGTGTGGCCAGCCCCTCTGGCCCAGGAGGCAGGTGGTGCCCAGGCCTCCCTGGCCTCTGGTGGTGCCAAGTGGAGCACGCTCTGGAGACCACATCTCGGCCTCTGTGCCTTTCATGTCCAATCCTCGGCGTCCTTTTGGAATTGCACCAGGGCTGCACTGTGGTCGGAAGGAAGCCGGTCCTCTGCCCTTGACGCTGCCTCTGCTCCTTGGCTCCCATGGACGGCCCTCTGCGGGAACCACTGGGTTCTGGCTGGGGCCTCCTCCCAGGCCCTGAGCACATCTGTCCACAGGACCTCTGTCTCAGTCAGGCGCTGACCGTGACCGCCGGCCACCCTGGGGGCTTTGTTCTCAGTCACTCGTGGAGAATGTTGAGTGTAATGGAACGAGACTGTTTGCGGGAAGGAATTGGAGCCGGCACTGTGTCTGTGTGAGATGCATGTGGAGACTCGGAGGCCAGGTGCGTCTCAGGCGCGGGAGTGTTCTTGGTGGTGGTTTGTAACCTGCGGGGAGTGGTGTCAGCTGCAGCCCTGCACTCAGGACTCGGGCTCTGCCACCTCGAAGGTGTAGGTTTTAGCTCTGACTTTTCCAAGCCAGGTATTGAGTTGAGCAGATTTCTTGGCTGATGGTCCAGTTAAAAGCTATCCTTCTCTGCCAGTGGATGGTTCTAAGTGGGGGAAATGACCCAGTGTTATTTAAACTTAAAAAGCCTTCTTGGTGGCCGCCCTTGGTCCCCTCCTCTCCCCTCACCCTCCCTCCTGAAAGGCAGAGGCGCCGGCGGCGGAGGGGCTGGGCGGCAGTGACTTTGGGCTCCCCTTCAAAGCCGGGTGCACATGTGACTAGAATCCTGGGAAGTCTGCAGGTTAGCACTAAGCTGAATGTCGCCTCCTCCTGAGTTTGATCGGGGATTTTAAATGTGGTTGTTCAAGGCATCAACTCATGTTTTGTAATTATAGAGGCAAGTGAGTTTTTACTTTTTAAAGAGTTTTAAGGGAGTAATTGTGAGTTTCTGTGCAGCAAAGTGGCTAATTACTCATTAAACATAAGAATGTAGTGTCTAAATCCAGATTTTTTCTTACCTCTGGTACACTTTAGATTGCTTACCTAATATGTATTGAGGGGTTTTTAACCCTGAGTTTTATCAACTTTTCTAGTTTTATTTTATTTTTATAAAATAATTGAAAAAACCAAAAATGAATTCAAAAGTTCCATAGGTAGATCTTTCCCCTTAATTTCCCACCCCCCGCCCCAGCAAAAAAAAAAAAAAAAATTTTAGAAAGACATTTTGAATCAAAATGTATATGACCATGTAAAGTTTACTGTTTTCTAAGAAGCTGAGCAGCTAAAAGGCCTCATTTCAGGTGGTACTGTGCGTACTGTCTACGGACGCGTCTACCTGTGTGGTGGGTCTACGTGGCAGTGTCTGTGCTTGCAGTATAGAGACCGTGCATTGCTGTTGTGTAAATGGACAGTTCCTGTATAAACTAGTGTTTATATGCATTGGCCTCTGTATGACTTTTCATTTGCTACATGATTTGTAAAATTAAATATGAAATTATAGTACCTGCTAAATATGCTTCTGAGGCTTCCTGTCCTTGTCTTTTAGTTTAATGCCATTATGTGTGTTCTGAGGATGTTCCATGCTTGCATGATGCTAGGTGGTAATGCCACTTTAAATTAAGCCTTAATCGGATATTAAATTTGTGAGTTTCAGAGTATGCAAAAACATTAGGCAGAATGAGTTTAAACTGTTCAGATCAAGATGCTCTATCTTAGCTCAGCAAGGCTCTCCTCCGGAGTCACAAAGGGAAGCTCACTGGCACAGCGCGCGCTCGCTCTCTGGTCTGGCCGCTGCTGCTTGATGGAAGCGGGCCATGGTGCGTTTCTGCGGCAGTCGGTCAAAGACCTGTTCTGAGAGTCTTGAGACTTTGTCAGGGTTATTTTTAAATGTTTGATTTTTTTTTTCCCTCCAGTTTGAGATGTTTTTATGGCTGATGGAGAGTATGATTTGGGTATTAATCTTTGCAGACCTGCTCATGTTCTAAGCTTTCTTCAGGTAGTGCCACCTGTCATTGCTTCTGCTTACGATTAAATGGGTTTTTGTTTTTGTAAAAGCATCTTAAATTTAGACATAAAATGGAGGGGACCCAGCTTTCTTTACAATGTGGATCTACCTCAGTTAAACAGTTGGGTGCTATTTACTAAGCCTGTCAAACTAAATTGGAAAAAGTAACAAAACAGTGACATATATAACTCCACACAAAGCTTGAAAACATAATTTCCGTTTATTTAATAATATTTTTATTTATTTTGTGCCTTTCGTGTTTAATCCTAATACATTGAAAAAATCAGTATGAAATTAAATATTTTATATTGTACGTGGGAGAAAAAGCCCAATTGGCCATGGAATCTGAGAGATCACCCCAGCTAACTACTAACACATACTGGAATCCCAACTGCCCTCTTGTGAAAAGAAAAAATCAGGCGCAAGAGCAAATATGACATTTTACAAGCAAATTTCAAACTCTTCTATGCATATATTTGTAGCTATCACTTCATTTTCTGTGCCAATGAAGGGGCGGCCAAAACAGCTCACACACACTCTTGTCCTTGCTTCTTTCATCACGCGTGCCCCCCCCAACCGCGCCCCAGGCATATTTTACTAGTTCATTTCATAAGTAACGGATGGACTGTTGTCGATTTAGTCTCTCCCGACCTCCTGGTGGGGGTGCTGATAGCCATCGACAGAGGAAGGGAGAGCCCTGGGCGGTGAGGGAGAGGAGCAGGGGTGCTGGGCAGCACCCCAGGATTTCTGTGAGTTAGAAAAGCTTTCTGGCAGGTGAGAAAATAAGATAGGAGATCGATGACTTTCCATGCTTTTATATTTGGCAGTTTACAAGTCTAGACTTTTCCTACTATGGCAATCTTTTTTAATTCTTTGGAGGTAACACAATATTTTGGAGTCTTAAGAATTTGATTTTATACCAATAAGAAATAAAAGTTAGGGATCTTTCCTGTAGTATATAGTTTTACTATTTTAAAGAGATCTCTGAATTTTACAAGAGAACCAACATTCCTTAGTGGCAAAACTCTGAAGGTTGATTTGGGAGGCTTTTTGCTGCAGGATCTCAAAAAAAATTGGGATGATTCTAGTTAAATGTTTTTTAATTTTTAAACTTCCATCAGGTCAATACGTAAGCTATATTTTGTAAAGAGTAAATCATCCTTTAGTATGCTGCATGTAAAGATCAGCGTTGTTGCACTTTCTCAATAATAATACATGCCCTGCAATTGGCTCACCAGTAAGCATTTTGTTTTTACCTAACAAGAGTACTTTGGGGCAGGTGATTAAATTTATATAGGTACCTCAAGAAAAAACCTGAATATGCTGCATTTTGTTTCTTTAGCTTGTATATGTAGCATTTTGTTCTGCTCTTATTTTTTTTGTTTAGATATATGCTTTTTGGACCCCAACAGGCTGTTGAAGAGATCTTAAAGTTACTCTTGTAGGGTTACAGTATCCTTTTTTTTTTTTTAAACTTACTGCAATATCTGGTTCAAAGGTTGCCCACCAGGAGATTATACTTTACCCAAATACACCTGAGAAAAAGGATACCATGTTTATAAGCAGACAATAATGTTTCCAATCCTTTCTGTTCATGCTGCTTTCTTAATTCTTTTCTCCATATCACCAAGAGGTTGGATGACTTACTTCTAAGGTCAGACTTAAACATCATGGCATCTTAATGTTTTCAACACAGACCTCACAAACTTGCCATTGAGTAAAGTAGCATGATCCTAAAGGTATTGCTGGCGCTAGGCAGCCATGTCCATCTGGGCTCTGAAGAGCCGGTCTTGACACTTCTCTGTTCCCAGCACTCACCCTAAACTGAACAGACGGGGAGTGGTCTTAATTGACAAAGATTAAACTGGTGAAGAAAGCTAAAGGCTGAGACACTGAGCATCTATTGTGGTGTTTAAGCTTAGCTGGGTCCTTTCGAGTTTGTTTTACAGCTTACTAGATTAAGTAGTTTGCACTATTTTTGCAATAAATCCATGGAAAACCTAACAGTTATTTGTTTTTGTTTCTTATTGTGTGTATATAAACTAATACTAAAAAGTTTGGCATAGTGTTTTTTTCACCTCCTTACATAACCTTTAACATGCACAGAATGCTGTAAATCTGATAAAATATGATGTGAATGATATTTTATAAAGTTATTTTGTATGGTGTCAATTTTGTTTTGCCTCATAGTATGTCAGCAAAAAAAAATAAAATAAAATTCCTTGTATTTACAGCTGCCTCTCCCAAAGACCTTCTGTTACTCATGTGTTTATTTGTTAAGATTAAAATTAACACAGGTTAAGATTCCAGGCTTCTGAGGTAGAAGCACACCTTGGGTGACAGAAGCCTAGAGCCTTATTTTATACATTGGGCCCCTTGAGAATTGGGAGTCTGAGGATAAAAACCTTAGGATTGAACTGGATGGAACAAATGTGGTATCTATGATGAGGTGGGTGTTCCCACTCTAGCAGCCATGAGAAAGGGTGAAGTAAAAAGTCATTCAGCTAAACCCCAATCAAGTGTGAACCCGAGCTCCATGCTGTGTGGGATACAGCTGACCGTATCTGGGGTCTGAGCCTAGTGGGTCACTTACCCTCTGCTTGGTGGCCTCCCTCTGGGCTGTCTGACTTCTGTCTGTACTGGAAAGAATATGTCGTGTTAAGAAATAAGGAAGGTGGGGTTAAGAAAACGAAAATAGCTGAGAATCCCTAGGATAGACATTGAGCTAAAGCAGGCCAAAGTTTTTGTTTTAAAGCTATTTTTTTATTTTTAAGAACAATGTTTTTTTTAAAAAAACAATATGCGTTCACTATAGAAAATGTAAAAATTCAGATAAACATAGAAATTTTAAATTAACAGTAATCACAACACAAAATCACAATCACAGATCACCAGCCCAGGTTGGATGCATGAGACAAGTGCTCGGGCCTGGTGCACTGGGAAGACCCAGAGGGATCCGGTAGAGAGGGAGGTGGGAGGGGGGATCAGGATGGGGAATACATGTAGATCCATGGCTGATTCATGTCAGTGTATGACAAAAACCACTACAATATTGTAAAGTAATTAGCCTCCAACTAATAAAAATGAATGAAAAAAAATAGTAAAAAAAAAAATCACAATCACACAAAACCTGTGCCAAATATTTATAGGGCTTTATTTCTAACAATTAAAATGGGAAACAAGAAAAAGTTTTTCAGATTTTTAAAAAGAAAAAAAAATGGGGGCGGGGGGGAGGGGACAAAGAACAGGAAGCAACCCAAATTGCGAATTACCCATTTACCTGTGGAATGGGTAAAGAAATGGTACATCCAAACAAAGGAATCCTACTCAGCAGTAAAAGGGAATGGACTGCTGATACCTGCAAGTGCACTAGGCTAAAAATAAAGATTCAAAGCCTGCATACCAAAAAAAAAAAAAAAAGCCTGCATACTATATGATTCCATTTATATGACATACTGGAAAAATGAGTGGGCAAACCATGGTCTGTGGGTCCAGTATGGCCTGCTATGTTTTTGTATGGCATATAAACTAATATTGACTTTTACATTCGTAAATGATTGTAAAGAAGCCAAAAGATTCCATGACCCATGAAAATATTACAAAATTTAAATTTCGGTGTCCATAAAGAAAAGTTTTCTCAAGTACAGACATGCTCATTCTTTTATGTGTTGTCTGTGGCTGCTTTTGAACTAGTAATAGAGTTGTCTAGGAGTGAGAGATTCTGTAGCCCACAGAACTGAAAAGTATTTCCCTGTGGCCCTTTCTGGAAAAAGCCTGTGACTCCCGCTCTGGGGGCTGGCGGCTGCCAGGGAGGAGGAGAGGAGCACGGTGCCTCGGCGGCGGCCTCTGTGAGAGCTCGGGACTGCACACCGGGGCTTCCCCGGGGGCTCCGTGCTAAAGAATTCACCTGCCAATGCAGGGGACACAGGTCTGCCCCTGGCCCAGGAGGGTCCCACATGCCCATGTGCCCCGACTATTGAGCCTGTGCTAGAGCCTGGGAGCCACAGCTACTGAAACCCCAACAGCCCAGAGCCCGCACTCCACAACAGAAGCAGCCACTGCAATGAGGAGTGCACACACCGCAGCTACAGGGTAGCCCCCGGTTCGCCACAACCAAGAAGAGCCCGTGCGGGAACGAAGACCCAGCACAGCCAAAAACAAATTATTTCTTTAAAAAACCCTGTACATTAAAAAGTGGATTTTAAAATATTTTAATAAAATTTAAAAACAAGAGGACAGAAAACAGGAGCGACTGCCTGGGGATAAGGGAAGGAACTAACTTCAAGGGGATACAGAGGAACATCTGGGGTGACAGAATCATTCTGTATGTATTGACTGCTGACACGTCCAACAGAATGGACATTAAAGGATGATTTTACTGGATGAAACTTCAAACTCAATTTTAAAAAAAGACTGAAAAGGCAAGAGCTAAAATATACCCCATGTGAATAGAAATAGGGCTTATGGTTTTCTCTTGTGGATAGTAAAAACAATTACTATGAAGGAATAGTAAAAATGATGGAGGTCTTCAATAATACAAAATGCTTTGTAATTTTTTAAGACAGACATGCTTAGGCAGAGGTAATATTTCTTACTGTATTTCACTTAATAATGTGATATGAAATTTTTCTCCAGGAACAGAAATATTAGAAAGTGCTTGTTTCTGGACTTCCCCAGTTATTCAGTGGTTAAGACTGTATGCTTCCACTGCAGAAGGCTCAGGTTTGATCCCTGGTTGGGGAACTAAGATCCCACATGTTGGCCAGTCAATGCAGGAGACCCAGGTTCGATCATTGATCCGGGAAGTTTCCACAAGGCTCGGGGCAACTAACCCTGTAAGCCATAGCTACTGAGCCCATGCACCTAGAGCCCTGCTCTGCAGAGAAGTCACCACAAAGAGAAGCCCACAGACTGCAACCAGGAGTAGGCCCCTGGCCACAGCCAGAGCATAGCCTAAGCACAGCAACAAAGATCAGGGCAGCCAAAACTAAATTAATTTAAAAAAAAAAAAAAAAAGACGAGTAATAGAGGGTTCTAAAACTAGTTCCCTAACACATTTTACTATAAAAATATATACAGCTTTTAAATCAGAACTACAATGAGGTTATCACATGGATCAGAAAAAGTCTACAAAGAATAAATGCTGGAGAGAGTGGAGAAAAGGGCACCATCTTGCACTGTTGGTGATACTGCCACTATGCAGAATAGTATGAAGATTCTTTAAAAAACTAGGAATAAAACTACCATATGACCCAGCAATCCCACTACTGGGCATATATGCTGAGGGAACCATGACACATACACCCCAACGCTCTGCAGCACTACTTACGATAGGACACAGAAGCAACCTAGATGTCCATCGACATATGAATGGATAAAGGAGCTGTGGTACATATACACAATGGAGTATTACTCAGCTATAAAAAGGGATGCATTTTCTAGAGCCTATTATACAGAGTGAAGTAAGTCAGAAAGAGAAAGAGAAACATTGTACATTAACACATATATAGGGAATCTAGAAAGATAGTACTGATGAACTTATCTACAGGGCAGCAATGCAGACGCAGACATACACAACAGGCTTTTGGACATGTGGGGGAGGGAGGTGGGATGATTTGAGACAGTAGCATTGAAACATACACATTACCATATGTAAAACAGATAGCCAGTGGGAATTTGCTGTATGAAAGAGGAAACCCAAAGCTGGTGTTCTGGGATAACCTAGAGGGGTGGGATAGGGAGGGATGTGGGAAGGAGGTTTAAGAGGGAGGGAACATATGTATACCTGATTCATCTTGATGTATGGCAGAAACCATCACAATACTGTAAAGTAATTATTCTCCAATTAAAAATAAAAAAATACAGCTTTTAATAAAAAAGAAAAATTTATTTTACAGTTTAAAAAAATGCAGTAGTTGGACAAATACAAAGCCAGATTGTCTTGAAATACAAAAATCCTACCTACAGACTATGTATTTAGCTAAAACAGGATCTAGCTGTTTACCAGAACTAATTTCAAAATATACATATGTGAATCTACACAACTGGTATTTTTACAAGTTCTTGAAAATCTATCTTCAAACTAGAAAGTTAAGCAGAGTCCCGTTGCCTCTGGAGCTCAGCGCTGCAGTCGGGCTGTGCCTTCCGGTTCATAGTCTGTTCCCAGTCCCCTCCCACTCCAGCTGCAGCGTGAGCTTGGGGGAGAGAGGCTGCTGCCTGGGTTCCTTTCCTGTTGGCTATTTATGGCAGAGGTGCATTATGCCCGGTCTCAGCCAGGGAAGAACACGATGTCTGTGCAGTCTCTGAAGGGTGGACAGACGAACGCCGCTTCACAGCCAAGGTGCTGATGCGGGGGGTCCTCGCTGCTGGTCTTCGGGGTCAGGATTCCGCTTCATCGTCTTCGCTCTCATCCTTGTTGTTCTCCTCCTCTTCTCTCTTCTCTTTAAGCATTTTCAGATATTTACTAGCTAAAATCTTCTTTGGTAATATATCTTAAAAACATAAAACTAACGTCAGCAATGCAAATTTCAAAACATGCTAGTCCCTGCTATGACCTCTAAAACAGGTTCCAAGAGGAGACCAGTCTCAGACCACACCTCTGGGGTGAAAGCAGGAAACTCGCACTGCCTCCTGACTGACGCGAGGGACCTGTTCCTGTGTCACCGACTGCGAACTATGCTTTTCTCTGTGCTGCTAACCACTGGAAGCAACCCTGTCCAACTCACCCGACCCAACGCTGGCCCCAAGGATCACCTTAAGCTCTTTTCAGCTGTGGTGCACACAGCTTGTTCTGCGACAACAATGATGAGTTTGTTTCCCCATCCAAGTAAGGAGGAGCTTGAGGGATGGGCCTGCCTGGCTTGCCCAGACACCCTTTGCAGGATGCCAAGTTAATTCGTGCTCTAGGTAAACCGCATTACAAACATACTCAGGCAAAACTAAACCTCTAGTCCTGTGCCAGGTAAACTGTGGCACCTGGAGAAAGCACCAAGATGTCTATTTCAGTGAAAGCAGAAAAAGAGCGGAGGAAAAGCTGTAATTACTATTTTTTGACCAGAATGTTTCAAAAGTGAAGTACCTGCAAGGAACTGAAAAGTTTCCGACTCCTCTGCAGTATTTGATAAGTCACTATAGGTGAGTGCTTTCTTTTCTTTTCCACTGCCATGTCTATAGGAATACGTGGCGAGATATTGAACAAAGAGTTCCTAAAACAAAATGAAAAAGTAAAATGAAAGGAGTGCTTTGAAAACCTACCAGACCCCACTTTTTAATTACATTAAGTTTAGATGATTGCAGATTATCTTGGTTCATCAAATTACAGGAGAAATAAAAGGAGAAAGGAGAAATATGAGGTCAGGAAGAGAGTAAGGCTGAATTAAAGTTGGCGGGAAAGCGGGGATTTCCTAAAAGTTTATTTTAGATTTCTAACTTACAAAAAATATATAACAATAAATCGTAACTGTTTAATGCCCAACCTCTACAGTTAAAGAGGGGCAAGAGACCATCCAAAAATTCTCTTCGCTCAAGAACACACATTGTGTATTCAATGTACATTGTGTAGGGTGGTCCCCCTACAACCCTAAGTCAACAACCTGAAGGTAAAAAATGATCAATTTCCTGTTTCACCCAGATACCTTCCCTAAGGCAACCATCTGAAATGAGCCTCTCTCAGTTTTATTTTAAATCCATCTAACTGAGTTAGTAAGGGATTAAAGAAGCAACTGCAAAACTCTTAACTGCTTAATATCTATAGAATGAAATGGTACAAATATCCCCAAACCACTCAATTTCCTACTTCCTTTAGCTACAGCTTTGACCAACATACCCTAGGGACACTGTCTACCCAACTAACGGCTGGAAAATGGATTCCAAGGAAAGTTAAAGACTGTGAAGCAGAAACCTGGCCAAGGGTTAAGAACAGGAAGGTTCTGGCCTACCTAGACCAAAGCAAGAGACAATTATTTGGGCCTAAGAGGGGGCTAAAACTTCAATTCTGGCCCAGGGTCCCTACAGTCAAAGCTATGGTTTTTCCACTAGTCATGTATGGATATGAGTTGGACCATAAAGAAAGCTAAGCATCAAAGAATTGATGCTTTCCAACTGTGGTGTTGGAGGAGACTCTTGAGAGTCCCTTGGACAGCAAGAAGGTCTAACCAGTCGATCCTAAAGGAAGTCGACCCTGAATATTCACTGGAAGGACTGATGCTAAAGATGAAGCTCCAATACTTCGGTTATCTGAGACGAAGAGCCGACTCTATTACAAAAGACCCTGATACTGGGAAAGACTGAAGGCAGAAGGGGATGACAGAGGACGAGATGGCTGGATGGCATCACCGACTCAACGAAACTACGGGGGCTAGTGAAGGCTGGGGCCCCGCAGCCCACGCGGTCGCCAAGAGTCGGATACGACTCGTGGACTGTACAACAACTGGCCCAGGAGACTCGGGACAGCGTTGGGCAAGCGGCCAAGCCCGGCCGCACCTTCTGAGGAAGCCGCGGGCCCTCTCCCTGAACCGTTTAAGGAGCTGGGGCACAAAGCCACGAAAAAGACCGGAAGCGGCAAAAGGAGGGGCTGTGGGGCCCCTGGTACAGTGACGCTCAAGGAGGGGACACCAAAAGTCACCTATGCGCCGCAGCCCAGATCTCCCTCGCGCGAGGGACGGCGGGAACGGGACGGGCGTGGCGACGAGGGCGCGAAGGAGGGCGGGAGCGGAAAGAGTGTGCGGCCGGGCGCGCGAAGGAGGGCGGGAGCGGAAAGAGCGGGCGGCTCGGCGCGCGAAGGAGGGCAGGAGCGGCACCGGGGGGCGGGGCGAAGGGCGCGCGCGATGCGAGAGGGGCGTGAGGCGACCCTCAAAAGAAGAGGGGCGGCAGAGCAGGGGCCCGAAGTGGACACGGCAGCTCGCAGGGCCCGGTGGGCGGGGCGGGGCGCGATGGTTTCGGGTTGCCCCCACCGCGGTCCCCCGCTCCTCAACTCCTCCCCGCGCGGCCCGCCTCACCGTGGCTTTGGCGGTGAGCACCAGCGCCTCCTGGTTGATGCTGGACACTTCGGGGGAGCTCTTCATGATGACCCGGATGCGGGACAGGGGCAGCGACACCAACCGCTGCTCCCCGCACTTATCCTTGCCCACGACCACGTCCGCCATCTCTGCACACCGCCCCCGCGGCGGCGGCGGCGGCAGCCCCTACCAGCCGCAAGGTGGCCGGCCTACACGGTCGGTGTAGGGGAGCGACGTCCCACTGCCCCGTGGGAGTTGTAGTGTTGGGTGGCGCGGCGGTGGGGGCGGACTACAAATCCCGTGATGCCGCGCTCCCCCCGCGGCTGTGCGCGCGGAGCGGAAATGCGACCTGAGGCTCCGGCGGGGCGGGGGCGGCTGTGGGTGATGGTTCGGCCTTGGGATGCTGAGAAATTCCGTGAAGGAAAACAGCATGGGAAGAGAGAAACCGGGGCAAAAAGGGAAAAGGCTGGGCAGTGAGGAGAGAAAACAGCCCTACTGATTAGAAAGCGCTATGCCGGCTAAAGGAGCCACAAGGCAGAGGCCCTGAGGGAGGACCCTTTTAAGAAGCGCAAAATGACCGCTCTGTAGGCAGGTGTGCTAGGTGAAGTCCGAGAGGTAGCCGTGGGCTAGGTCCTGTTGGTTTTTATTCTAAGAAAATTGGGAAGTGGTTGAAAGATACCAGAGGGATGATGGGATATGTCTTAAGTTTCAGAAAGATGCCTCTGACTGCTGAACGTGAATAGACCAGAGACGAGTCGCAAGGATAGAGAGATTGTAAAGGTGGAGGCAAAGAGATTGTAGAGTTGAAGGTGATTGCAAGTGAGGAGTTGGATGCTAATGTGACTGAAGGTGTCCTGAGTAAGGAATGGTAGGAAATAGCCACGGCCCGGATCAGATAGGGTCTTGTAAATCATGGAATTCTTTCCAGAAGAGTTGGGAGGCCCCACTTAAGTTTTACAAGGAATATTCAGGTGGCCATATGTGAATAGGCCATAGAGGAGTGAGAATGGAAGCAGGCAGAGTTCAGGTAAGAAGCTGTTACAGGGATGGAGAGAGGTGGTGGAAATAGTAGGTTGTAGATTTTGGGGACCTAATTTAAAGATAGAGCCAACAGGTAACCTCTGAAAATTCAATTAACTATCAAGAAGAAAAAGGTATTTTATTCAAGCTAGAGGTTTATAAAGTAGAAGCAGATTCTCAGAAAGCTCTGAGAGCCCTTAACACATTTTAGAAGTTGAAGGCATAGTAGGTACATTTTCAAGACAGAGGATTGTACATCAAAATGACATACTGATGTTTTACATAGAGTTCACTAAGGATACACAACCCAGGTAAACACGTGCAAAGCAAGTCACGTGACCCCCTAAAGAGCTGAGAAAGCACAGTGTTCTTATAAGAAGCTCCATCGCTAGCATGAAAAGAAAGGGAAAAAAAAAGTTGATCTTCACAGTTGAGCAGGCACTCCTGCCTTTGAGGAGCTGTGGTGAATATGTAATGCAGGTGCACACTACACGTCAGGGAGAGAAGGAGGCCCAAACAGAATTTAAAATGTAATTGTTTCCTTGTCTTGCCATAAAATACAAATTTTACTTCATCATGGTCTTGCTAAGGGAAAGGATGGTGGTGAAAAGGATTGAGTTAAAAGATGGTGGTACTGTTTACTGATCTGGGGAAGCCTGCAGGAGGAGCAAATTTGGCAGGGGTGGGTTTAGAGCAAATTAAGTCTCAATTTCCTTGAAACACTAGTTGCAGTGTTGACTGGCCGGTTGGCTATTCCAGCCCGGAGTTCAGGCTGGAGCAGTAAAATACAGACCACCATTGTCCAGGTGATAATTAAAACCAAGGACCTGAATGAATGTATATGGGAGGAGAGTGTAGATAGAGTACAAAAATCTGAGGACTATAACCTGGGTTACCCCAACATTTTGAGATGAAAAAAAATCCAGCAAAGGAAACTTGAAAGTGGCCATTGAGCAAAAGAAAAACCAACAGATTTTATGTGTCTGTAAAGCCAATTGAAAAATACTGTTTCAACAGGATTGAATACTGCTGGGAGGTGGAATAAGACTTGTCTTTCCACTCACAACAAAGGACTGTCTCCAAACCACTGTTTCCTCATTTGCAAAGATGAAATGGGAGAATCGCACCGTCTTGGGTTGTTAAAAGGTGTGAACATGCCTGGTGCATAAAGATCAAAGCCATCCCCCCATCCATCCAGTGCTACCTCCCTCTCAGGTCAGCCGTGAGTGTCAGAGGAGCTGAGGAGGAGGAAGTGCTTTGCCAACCGTGCAGCACTCTGCAGAAGCCTAAACTACTGTGTGAATTTTGCCCTGTTCCTCCTACAAGGTCCTTTCACCCCAAATCAACTTCAGTTCCAAAATTCACATGAAAGGGGTCCGGAAGATTAAAAGTGTACCTTGTTTAACCTTTTTGATTCAATTCTGCCTATCATTTAGGCAATGATTACAAAACATAAAATGTGTACTTTGCAGAGCGTGTTTCTGCAAGTTTCGTAGGCTCTGAAAACCACTGCCCTTCAATCTTAATGAGAGGAGCTGAAGCTAGAGAGCACAGATGCCCCAGATTACTGACGTCTGCAGTGCCATAAAGTCTTCACATCTCCCTTCAGCCATGATGACCCAGCCACCTTAGCACCTGCTGCGTGCTTTGTCTCTGGAAGGAGAAAGCTGAGAACCCAAGGACAGTGTGACCTCAGGTCTTGGGGAAGAGCCCCCAGTACATGGCAGGCCCTTCTAGGCACAGAGGAAAGCTACAGGCAGTGAGCAAGACAGCTCTAGTCCCTGTTCTCACAGAGCAGTTTCAAATACAAGGAAGATAAGAAAAGTAACATCCCCTGTGGTAAATGCTATGAGAGTGATGGCATGGTGTCTCTGAGAAATGAAACTTAAGGTCAGTTTTTTTGTTTTGTTTTTTTTAATGTTTATTTGTTCGGCTGCTCCCCATCCTAACTGGGGCTTGTAGGCTCTAGTTCCCAAACCAGAGATCTAACTCGGAGCCCCTGCTTTGGGTGGGCGGAACCTTAACCTCTGGACCACCAGCAAAGTCCCTGAGGTCAGATTTGGAGGCAGGAATGGAGCACTCTCACAGGATAGCGTGTGGGAAAACACCTGAGCCAGAAGACGCCTTGGCAGATTTAAGGAACAAAAAGGCCAGTGTGGCTGGAGCTTAGCAAGTGAGGCAGAGAGTGCAGGAGACATGGTGAGCCAGGTAGGTGGGACCCACTCCACTGGCAGGTGAGAAGCTAGGCTTGCTTTCTGAGAGCAGTGGGGAGCCTGAAGAGTCTTGAAGCTAGGGAGCAGACCCAACTAAAAAGCTCATCCTGATTGCCGAGGGGTGACTGACTGGCACCATGCCCTGTGCCAAGCAGAGACGGAGGTGCTGTTTCAGCCTGCAGGATTCAGCTCAGAGCCAAAGGAAAGCCTTTTCCTCTGCAAACAGGCTACCCACGAGGGTCCTTGGTCCACACAGGAAGCAGACTGGCATCGTTTTTAAGTTTTGTTTCTCTATCAGGTTATTGTTTGTTTGTTAATCAGGTTTCTCCTCTTTCAGCATATTTGACAGCAGGATGGGTTAAGTTTAGGAAGGAGTGTGGCAAGCATCTGGAGGATGAAAAGAGCCAGAATAATTCAAGGAGAAAAGGAGGGTGAGAAGCTCAGGTTGTGGAATTGGCAGGACATGTTGCTGTATTTGGCCATTTTGAGAAGTAAGGAGTGAGGCAAAGACAGAGATCTGCAGAAAGAGGGAATGTGCCCAGCATTTGTAAAAAAGGAAACAAGCTTGGAACCTAAGCGAGTGGGAGAAGGAAAGAATCTGAGATCCTCAAAACTTCCCTGCACGAGAAGCAGCACATGAGTTAGCAGATCATTCTGTCGCCGGTGCTCTTGTTCACCATGTATCCTCACAGCCTCCCAGGTGTGCCTGCTGCTTCTGCTGCCTCCCCACTGCACCTACCCCTGTACCCTGGGCGCTAGGTAACCACGCTTCCCAGAACCCCCCGCCAGCTGGCTTCTGGGAGACCCAGGTGCGAGGGTGCAGCACGGATGGAGGAGGAAGCATCGCTTATGGTTGTGTGAAGTTGTTGGCAGCACGCGGGGATTTGGGGTGGGGGTTGGTTACAGGGAGTCACCTGCACTGCGCACAGTGTGGTGGGGTTCCACTCTGCGGCAGCACCTTGGGCAGTCTAGGGGGGAGTATTGGCCCGGCCCCCAGCCAGGGGTAGCAGCAGCTTCCTCAGCTCCAAGCTTCATCTCAGCGGCAGCTCCCTCATGCTCCAGCACATGCCCTTCCACACCCTCGAAGCCATTTCTCAGCTTTAACTCCCTCTCTGTCTGAAATAGCTGAAGTTTCTGCTTTCCTGATTGAAGGTTGAGACATATGTAGTTGGTACAGGAAACAGACCCACAGAAATGGGGATCTGGAGCTGATTGTGCTAGAGCAGAGATGACCTCCCTGACAGCAGGCACTGGCCAAACAGTTATTTAGGTTGTCACCTGCCACTGCCTGGGTGGACAGCCCACTGAAGGCAAGGCTGCCCCAAGGCGGTGGAGCCTTGTGAGATGTGCTTTTCCTGAGATGGGGAGATTTCAGAGAGGAAATTGGAAGCTCTGACTGTAAACTCTCAGAGCAAGCCTTCAGCCTGTCCTGATCTTTTGTAGGCTCAGGGCTGATGGGGCTAAAGGTCAGACCTGCCTGTAGTCTTAGCTGAGACAAAATTACCACAGAAGTTGAAGTCACAAGCTCACCTGGACTTTTCTGTGAAGTTGGGCTCTTTATTGGGAAGAGTGGGGTCCTGAGACTTAGAAAAGGACAGTTGGGAGGATACTAGCAACGCTTTAACCACCCCCTCCCCCCCGACCCCTCTGAGCCTCTGTCAGAGAAAATGGCCCCTCTGCCTGCCTGAGATCACCCCTCCCTCACTCCCTTGAAGTCCTCTTAATGAGCTTACTTGTGCTTACCTGCAACAGGGACGCTGACCCTTCTCAAGACACGCCTCTCATTAACTCCAGGCCATAATTGGAGTCAGATCCCAGCATGCCCTGGGATGAAACAGCAAAGCCCAGAGATGACACAATGAAAGAATTGCAGCATACTCACTGCTTTTATCATCAGAAACTTGAGGAGTATGT